CGTTGAGCGACGGCCCTTTGACTTAGGATTAGTCAGTTCTCTGTAAGTAATCCCCAGTTTGCAGGAAGCAAATTTCACAGGAATATATACAAGTGGGAGGAAGAAGAAAAGGCTTTGCATGTGAAACATCATTATAGTGCATTACAAGTAGCACATGGCCAATGCAGTGTGGCAACTGGCAAGGGATTTCACTGGTTCCATTTTGTATGTTAGAAACTTAATTTTGGTGCTTCATTGGTGATGGATTTGATCTGTTGAGTATAAAAAAAATCTGTTCAGTATAACTATTGGGTAATAATTAACTTTACTATGAAAAATATGAAGAGTTTAAAAAAATAGACAAAAGGGAGTTTTGGGGCTAGGTTTTGTGGAACAATAAATGCAGCAAATCACTGAATCAATAGAGCATACATACAATAAAAGGCAGTGCAGTGCAGTGTATTGTAGGGTTTAAAAAGAGTTAAATATACATAATCTTACCTTGTATATGAAAAGGTTATTTTTGCAGTTCGAGCCCTTGATACCCAAGTCACGATGAAAGAATCTTACCACTTTGTCAAAACCCACCTAAAATGAGAAGCAAAAAATCTCTTTAAGTTACAACCTTATTAATTTGCACCCTTTGTGGATTACCATCTGGCCATACCTCTTAGAAGGAAAAAAAAAATAACTTAAAGGAACAAAATTAGCATTGACAATAATTTTTGCCCTTTTTAAAAGGATAATATTGTTTTTTTTTTTTTTGTGACGCAACTGAATTCATTATATAACCAAAAAACCTAGAGAATAAAATCAATATTAATTGAAGTTTCTGCTTGATCATAGAGGTGGGTTTTCTTACTTTTGGTATATCTTTGGCCCTTCTTAATTTTGTAATTTTAAGGGCTTGTTTGGTATGTTTTTTAGGAGGGGTTTAGATTGACTTGTTCAAACTCGGATTTGGCCCAAAGATAGGATTCAACATTCAATGTTGTTCATACCCATGTTTGGTACGCGCATGAATATATGATTATTATAATAATATATTTATATATAAATGATTATTTCGTCCCTTAACCAATTTGTATATGTGGAAAATATAAGATATATGGCGGTATAAATATCATTTGAATATTAAATCTTTTAGCCCACATATAAAACCCCCCCTTGGGTTTCATGAAACCCAAGTATGTGGGTTTTATGACCGGGTCATCCAACGGACTGAGTTTCCAAATCTTAGGCTAAATATGGGTCACCAAATATGGGTTTAAGGGATTTTATTCTCCAACCCACAATCCAAACCCCTCCCAAACCTCCATACCAAACAACCCCTAAGGGAACTAAATTTTATGTTCCAAAGTATTGTTTGAATATCGAAATTTTCGTATTTTGATGTGTTTTGATTATTGTTTTGAAAATAAATTTTAAAATTTTTTCTTTGTTTTTATTCAGTTTCCAAAATATTTTCATTTCTTAGATGACCAAAACAATTCACCGAAAAATAAAATTTATCTCAAATTCCGCCAAAATGTACACATATGCATCATCTGGTATAGCAGATTAGCATATACATGGAGTAGGAAGTCCCATTGGATGTACAATTACCTTCCCTATCACTTCTGGATAGTATTTGCTGTCAAGAATTCAACAACGTCTTCACGTTAGATTGCCAGATATTAGAGCAGACCAGACCATAATAATAGCAAACTAGCATCCCGCACCGACTACTTCATTGATGGACTTTCTTGTCACTTGTGGTTATTGTGTACAAGTTTCTCTGCCAGGCTAGTAAGGGAAAGGTTTATATCCACATAAAGAATATATCAATGACAATAATTTTCCACCATGAACAAGATTTAATTATGGGGCATTAGCTTAGACTCTCTGTGTGTTACAGTTAATTATGTATAATTAGATTAACCAACTCAACAAAGTCTTGTCTTAATATTTTTTATACGAACAACGTGTATGATTCAATTCCAAAGTAAAGAAATGTGGGTGGACAAACTTATTTTGCTCACAATCCAAAACCGACAGAAATACTTTTTTTGAAAACCATTTGTAGAACAACATAGGATAATATATGTGCCAAACTTCAAAACGAATAAAAGTAATGCTATTGACATATAATTTAGACACTTGACTTGTATATTTAATGCATTATATTACTTAATTTGAGTATCTAATACATTATAGTAATTATGATTGTTGAATTAACCGTGAACAACTATTAATTCAATCAATATAAGGAATAAGATGCACTAATTGATTCTCTAAATTATATACAAGTAGTCCTATATAAACAAAGTAGGCTATAACATGCGTGTAGAGCACTTTTTAACAAGAAATTCAGAAATAATGAGTAATCTAAAGAAAGAAGGATAAATTACATTTAGACTCTTTGAGCTTTGTTACTAAAATACACGGGCCTCCTCAAGTATGAAATATTACACTGATACCCTTATCAATAACAGACAACTAACCCACCTAATAGAAGTTATGAAATGACTATTTTACCCTTCGTCTAAAATCAAATAATTCTAATCTAACCAAATTCAAATACTTACATCATCTTAATTTGACCTAACCCACCCGAATCCAAGTCGTACCCCATTAAATATCATATCTCTCTCTCTCTCTCTCTCTCTCTCTCTCTCCTGCCACCAACCATCCCCACTCACCTAAGCAACTGTCACCATGGCCACCATCAGACCCATCATCGCACCATAATAGACATCACACCACAATGGCTACGACCAGACTTATCACAACGCTAAAATTCTCAATCAAATTAACACTAGTGAACCTTAATCAATGATGTAATCCATGGTGTTGATGAGTAACAAGTAACGAAGAAGAGGGAGAAGAAGAAATGGAAATTGAAGTGGGGTTGTATTTTCTCACTCTATGTTGTTCTCTATTTTGATGTGTGGGTGGGGTTGTATTCTCTCCCTCTCTCACATATTTTTGTAATTGGTTGTGTATATCTATGGGTATTTTGTATTGTTTGTTGGATTTAGATTGGTTTTGGGTGGACACTTGCATTGTGTTTGAAATTTTGGATTGTGTTTTTCATGAAATTTCAGATGGATTTGGATTTGAATTTGGAAAAGATAGATTCTGGTGATGCTAGTGATGAGAATGATAAGGAAAGGGAATAATGGTAGCACTGGTGGTGACAACGCTGGTTAAGAAAGTTTGTGAAGGGTCTAGTAATAAAATGGATATTACTCATTTATTTTGAATAAAAATTGATGAGCACAAATTAGGCAAATGATGAGCACAAATTTAACTGGGCTAGGCCCAATGAAAACAATCCAAGAAAGGTCGAAGGAAAGCCCAACTCTAAACTGAATCGATCCATTGGAAAAGAAGACATCAAGAAGTCAACAACCAAAGCCCCAAGGCCAACGCCCAAGAGACTTAGCAATTGGGCGCCTCCTAGGCTGGCCTCTTGGGCGCCTCCCTCTTCGTTCCTCTTCACTTTGGAACTCCAAGTCCAAGCTAGGATAGGTCCAAGTCTAGGTCAAGCTCAATCCAACTAACGTTCTCTTCCGAATGAATAGGAGCATAAGGGCAGATAATATAGAGATTGACATAGAAGATCTCCTACCATAACAATACTTGTCAAAGCTATGGAATTCTTTTCCCTCACGTCACCGCCTCCACTACCTTACCCTAGCTATATAATGTAAGCCTTCTCAACATTGAGGAGGGCACGCCTCCAAGGCCTCCAAACCTTACACTCATTGTTTTCTCTCTGTCTCTCTAAAAGCACTGTATTTCTCTGGAGTACTATCATTCATCAACATCAATAAAGAACACAGGCCGCCGCTGCCATTCCCAAGAGTGGACATAGGTCACCCGAACCGAACTACTATAAATTTTTGTGTTTGTTGCTTATTTACTATTTTTATCTATTGATTGTCGTTGATTACTCATTAATCACACCCTTACACATATTTGACTATTGATCTTGCACGAAGGCAGTTTTATGCATCATCAAAAATTATTATTGATTATGAATTGATTAAATAATTGGGTAGATAATTGGCATAAAATTAAGTAGATTGATATTAATTAATTCAATAGGGGTATTTTGGAAATTTGATTGCTAAAATATGCTGACGTGATTAACTTTTAACAGTATTCCAAACTACTTTTAAACATAGGGATTCATGTGTCACACAGGTATACAAACTTTAAAGTGTGTCAATGTAATATGTCATAATTGAGGGGATTATGTGTTTTAGTACAAAGTTCAGGGTATGAATGTAATTTACGCAAGAAACTAACAAGGGATCGTGTCGAACTTACCAAACGTCTTATTTTTAAAATGACGAAAATGCCCTTGTGTTCTTTTTTCGTTGGTTCTATTGGGCCTTGACCGCCATTGCTTTTTGGAAGCTACTAGCCTAACAAGGTACCAAGTGCTAACACCCCGGCCTCTGCAAGCCCTCTCTCCCTCTCCCTCTCCCTCTCCCTCTCCCTCCTCTTCCTCACATATAAAACCACAATTAAAATCCTTCAAAGAAAAAATTGCCCATTGCCCTTTAGGGTTTCTGCAGGAACCACACTGATCAGTGCCAAACCATCAAACAAGTGAAAACAGGGGTCCAGAAATAGCAGTTATTCGAGGAGTGAGGTAGGTAAGCTACAACATTGAAATCTCCAAAAGTTTTTCTTTTCTTGCACTTCCGCACACTGCCAACTTGGGTTTCATGTCAAAGCAAGTGAAGGTAATATTATTTTAGCACCAAAATGTCCTTGGACAGCATTGGATTCCATGATAAATCCGAGTCAAGTTTCAATTTTTCTTCCCATTTATTTGATAAACTAAAATGGGTTTCTTCTAAATGCAAGCAAAAGATAGGGATGTTGCTTGTTTACTGAATTTATAAGTTGGGTTGATCTCCAAGAAAGCTAAAGAAAGTGGTCTCTTGAGCTTGCATATCTGTGACACTAATTGATGTCCTGAAGTTGAGGGAAGTGGTGGTGTTTTAACATGACCATTTGCTAAAATGCCTTGGATTCGATCTCAAATCAAGCAAAAAGATGGTCTTTTGACCCATTCTCCTCTGCTGTCCTCTTCTTCTTCTTCTCCTCCATTGCCATCTTACCATAAAGAGTTAACACCGTCGTCATCGTCATCGTCAGGTAGTAAAATAAGCCCAGCTGTGCTTTTCATTATTGTGATACTAGCTGTTATATTTTTCGTCTCTGGTGTCCTGCACTTGCTTGTTAGATTTCTCATGAAGCAAAGATCTTCTCAGTCTAATAGATACCCAGAAATGTCTGGTTCTGGTGCTTTCCAAAGACAGTTGCAACAGCTCTTCCATCTACATGATTCAGGCCTAGATCAAGCTTTTATTGATGCTCTACCCGTGTTCCTCTACAAAGATTTAATGGGTCTTACTGATACATTTGATTGTGCTGTTTGTCTATGTGAATTCTTAGAACAAGACAAATTGAGATTGCTTCCCTTGTGTAGTCATGCTTTCCATGTTGATTGTATAGACACATGGTTATTGTCAAATTCAACTTGCCCACTTTGTAGAGGGACCCTTTTCACACCTGGGTTTTCCATTGAAAACCCAATTTTTGATTTTGATGATTCAAGAGAAGATGGGTTTTCAGGCAATATAGGCCTTTCTATTCCTTCTGCTCAAAAGCCCGCTGAGGATGGCACTATTAATGAAAAGAGAGTGTTTTCTGTGAGACTTGGCAAATTTAGAAGCACAAGTGATGAAAGAGGAGAGAGAGAAGTGGGAGAGACTAGTAACAGTAACTTGGATGCACGAAGGTGTTACTCAATGGGGTCATTTCAATACGTGGTTCCTAATTCAGACCTACAAGTAGCCATGTGCCCCAGTAGAGCTAGGGGTAATGGTTGTGCTGATGTGAGATCTGTGAAAGGGAATGGTGGACAGAGCGAGAATTCTTTGATTGATGTGGTTGCTGAGGAGAAGAAGATTAACATTGGAAGTAAAAATGAAAGCTTTTCCGTTTCCAAGATATGGCAGTGGTCCAAGAAAGGTAAATTCCCAACTTCTGCAGATACCCATGGGGTCAGTTCGTCAGTTGATGTAAGGCTGCCATGGACACATAGAACTCAGGCTACATGAAGATATATTTTCACTTGCCTTATGTAATTTACTTTATTCATTAATTTGACCATTCACTTGTTCATGCTTACTTTCCCCTTTTGCTTTCTCTTTTCTTTTGATTTTTTTCCTTGAAATGCAAATTATTGTGAATGATGCTTCTTTTTCACCACACTTTATGGAAAATGGCAACATGCACTTTATCTTTTCATTCAAAATTCATGTTGAGAATGCTTTTCTTTCTGCTAAATTTTGGGTTGTGTGTGATATCTGAACTCTGGTCCTATTCCCCACTTGTGACTCAAAAGGTTATAAGTTCAAATCTCCTCTCAAGGGCCAGCCCCATGGGTGATATGATGTATGGCTCTTCCTTTCTACTAAATGTTTGTCTTTCATCCTATGGAAGATATGATGTGTGGGTTTTCATGTCTCCTTGCAATGCCAATATTAGCGGCTTCTAGTCACTTTATAGTCTTCAAGAACTAGATGCAATAATATTATTTTGAAAGGTAATTCGGTCAATGTGATAAACTTGATTTCAGATACAAGTGATAATTTTGAGCATTTGAGTCTTGTTCTAGTAGATATTAGGATTATTTCCTCAATTTTAAATTCATCAGTCATCTACTATAAGACGTTTTAGTAATAAGGTAACACATAGTTTAGTTAGAAATATTTTCTCAATCATATGTGTGGATGTATGGGAAGAGGCGACACTGGATTTCTTAGTGCCCCTCTTTTCTCTTGGATTTTTCTAATTAATCGAATTCCTATAGTTTCAATCAAAAAGAACCGATGCAATAAAAAACCTACCAAAAAAAAAAGGAAATTTGAATCATTGTTGTGATATTTTAGGTGATTAAGCACAAACAATAAGGGTCCCATTATTGAATTTTGTATGAAATTCAGATGGGTGTCTAATGACAACTTTGCTTTCAAAGAAGATTTGTGTTTCTCTGGAACTTACTCTCTTCTGATTTTCTCAAATAGGGTCCCCTTTTTTATCTTTTTTTCTTTTTTTGATGAATATAAATGTGATCGTGGGATCTGTGAAAAGTGGTATGAGGGACTCTTGTGAATTGTGATGATGGGGTGCTACGATTTCAAACGTTGACCTAGGCCAGTGCATTGGTGGGGACAGGGAGTGTTCCCCCGCAAGCTTATGATGGGTCCCATGTGGAAACAGAAATATCTTAGAACAATTGATACCCATGTCGTTTTTCCCATTTTGCCCCACTGTATGACATACTTAGACAGTCAATTTAGATTTATTGGAAGGTCAAAAATTGCAAAAGACTTTGTGAACATGAAATTTGTCTCATCTAACTACGCACCTTATTACAATCAATTCTATGTGATTTCAAATATTGTAATATGTTCCTTCCAAGTTTTAAATGGATTAAATTTATTAACAGGTGGCTGAAATATAAAATTACCATTAAACCCTCAACTTTTATATTATTTTTTATATATATTTTTTGAGATACCAATTTTATCCGTAAAAAATAAAAAAACAAAAAAGTGAAGACAATATATTTGCCTTCACCTTCTCTTCCATCACACACACTCAAACCTTCCAAGAGTAGTTATGATTCTTCAAAGCGTGCATAGACACACACGCACTCTTCTAAGGGTAGTTATTGATTTTTCAACAAAATAAAGATGAGGTAAATTTCTCATTTCTAATTTTTGTCATTTATTATAATGTAAAATTAATTGTTGGATTTAATTACAAAATAATCAAACTTAATTAGTTTATCAAACCTACATTAGGCAAACTTAAAATTTAATGAGAATCAAACTTGGCTCAGTTCATTTTATGGTACTACAAAAATCATAGTAAAATTAGAACTACCACCCACCCACCCACCCACCCACGCCCAAAAACAACCCCACAATTAACTGGTACAAATGGAGTAGGTAAATGGTAATCACAACACGAAACCCACAAGGCAAAGACTTGCACTTCAATCAACCATGTGAAATGACATGTTTCTTTTTGAAGTGGGTAAATTATAATTTACACCTTTAAAGTATGTAACTAATTCTTATTGTTTGAAGTTTTAATTTCAACAATCAAGTTTTTTATAATTTTAATTTAGTTTTTACATCTAAATTTATCAATTTATTATGACAAAATAGTTTTATGTGACCAACACATGACTTAGATAAGGACGTATGTTTGTCTAATAAAAAATTTATTACGTACAAGCTAGAATTTTTTTTAATCTGATTTTAAAGAAAACAAAAAGGATAAAAAAACCGAAAAAGAAAAAGATATAAAGTATGAATTTGAAAGAGATTGCTAATCAAAGAGAGAATTATTAATATATATGAGAGATATATTTTTGCTTGATAAATATACCCTTGTGGACAAGTTCTATAAGACCTATAGGTCTAACCGATATGGTTAGGTCTATTTGAGATAGCTAACCCCATTTTGAGATAATATAATTTATCGGTTCAGACCTGTTATTTAACTGCTGAAATAATAATAATAATCATAATTTTTAAAAAAGGGTAAAATTCTATGAAAACTTACTGTTGGAATAAATTAATAGATCTAGATAGAAGAATTAAATTAAAACTTTAGGAATATAATTGTATTAATTGAAACTTGAGGGATTAAATAAAAATTATGTATATATTTTAGTGGTATATATTACTATAAATTTCCTTTTTTAAAAGTCATGAGAATGCAAGGTTTTGTGCGCCAGAGGGTGATGTTGGAGAGGGACTTGTCCATAATTGAGTGACGCCTCGAGGGAAGAATCCAAGGTTTTGCGTGTTGGACTTTGAGGAGTTTATTATTATTATTATTATAAACTACTCACTGAAACTGCCACTTACTTTCTGTGCCACCTCTTCTTACTATAATTTTTTCACTGGTTGGCACCAGATAATAGTAGTATTATTATAATACCCTCGAAATTCGAAATTACCCTTAACCAAAAACCAGACCTGAAAGTTAGTAATTGACTTAATAATCATCGCTTCTATGTCTGTCGTTGAACTTTAAAATTGCGGGTTCAAATTAAGGTCGATCTAATAATATAAAAAATAAAGTATGAGTTTTACACTCTAAAATTTTAGAACGATCTATAATTTTAAGCACATTATTAGTCCATCAAAAAAAAATTAAATTTATTAAATTTTAAGTTATAAGAAAAATAAAACCAATAACATTAGAAACTTAAAAATCAAAAGTTAAAAAATAAAAAAAAAATACTCAAAATCAACTCATATTTAACTCCGCTCACTCTCTCTCTCTCTCTCTCTCTGTACAATAAAAAACAAAAATAAAAGTTGAAATTAAACTCTCTCTAATAAAAAAAAAAAAAGCAAAAGTTAGTATGAAATTAATATTAAAAATTAAAAATTTCTTATTAAATGTTTTTATTTTAAGTCTCAAATGGTCTTGAGCCATCGTAGTTCAAACATAATTGTTCTCTCCTTTGTAATAGTGTCTGACCAGAAAAAGAAAAAATCCTAAGACGAGCCTCATCCAATATCACTCCTCTATAAAAATTAACTACAGTACCGAAAAATATTTTGTGGATAGTGTATCTTTTATTTTCAACTAACTGCAACATGATACATATAATTAGTCTCAAATAATTATTATCAAATAATTAGAACAAGACTTCCTAAGCATCCGGATGCGAAGCCGACTTTTCCCCGGTCACAAGAACTCGAGCAAGAACAATATTGTGGATACCACTTTTGTGTACCACCTCTTTTACACCATCATCAGATGTGGCACGATCAGAGTTATTAGATATTCCTTCAAATTATGGATATTGCTTTTTGAATGCAATCAATAGGTTTTTTTGGATTCAGATTTTCTCCATATTTTTTTCTATTTTTCTTCTTGACAAATTATTCAATAAGTAAATTTATATATGTATATATATATAATAGATTTCACTCAAATTCACGATTAATGATCTATTCAAAAGAGAAATAAAATTTAAAAAAAACATATATATACATATATTAGAAGAGGTTTTATCCCAATTTTTCTTTCAACCCACTTAAAAGAAAGGACAAGGAACAAAATCAGTTCCAAATAGAGCGTTTCTATCCCAAACACTACAAGTAGGATACAATAAGACTATAACTTCAAAACGAGAAAACTTCTCACTTCGGAAGTGTTACTTCTTTCTTTCTTTTTTTATTCTTCTTTTCTTTCGGATTAACACAAGGGAGGAGGGTTTTTTTCTAGAGGTGGGGGCAATTATACATCAATTCAGATCGAATTGTAACAATCAAAAATCAACGCTTACATCATATCAACAGTGTCAAGTTGTTTAACCGTCCACTAATAAATAAACAACTCTACAAGTAAATCTTACAAAAAGTCATAACCAATCAACCATATAATACATAACCACCTCTACATAAAAAAACGGACTCTATTTTATCTATTTTGTAATTTTTCTATCAAATGGTTACACCACGTGACATTATTGACGTAATGTAACCATTACACCCAATATTTATTCTATGCCAAGGGACAAACATGGAAAAATTCAGGCAGCAGCATATATATTATATGTATTTTGCCAAACAGGAAAAAATAAAGAAGCCCCCCAATGCACAATGCTCTTTATCAACCTTCAAATGAAATTCATGACCACATGATTGAAATTCAAAATAAATCTTGCTCAAATATAGACTTACAAGTTCAAAAATCAAAATTTTTAGCAATAAGAACCCCTCAACTGCACAATCGGGCACACGAGCTCCTCCTATCCGCTCTTCCAGAGGAAAACCTTAATTCTCACAAGTGTACACAAGTATTCTATCATAATCTACAGAAAGCACAATTTTTAAGGGAAGAAAAGAGAAAAAAAAAATGTTTAGCAAGATTTCTAAACTCAAATGTCCCAAATTGTCAACAGCCATACAGCCCCAAAATAATAGAATTAAAAATTGCACTAAAAACTACAGACAGCGAGAGGATACTTCTCAGTGGAGGAAAAAATCAGAGCTGTGTATCATCTTTCATGAGCATTCGGCTCACAAACCATGAGGGAAATTGTTGATTTGTCCTTCCTCCAATATGTCTTTGTTATTCATCCTATAACCTATCCGTAAGCGCATGACAAGGGATTTCTGAAAAGAAGAGAATCGTTATCTATTTTGCCAGAAGATCAAATAAAATAAAAAAGAAAGTGAGAGAAAAAAATAGCTGAGCATCCAACAGTTCACGTCATTTGAATAGAATTATAACCAACAGGTTTCTGACTTTCTGGCACAAAGGGAATGATATTCAATGTATTTTTTACACTCGGTGCAAGACAACATGATCCAGGTGAATCACATTTAGGAACAAAACTGTTCCAGGCCACATAGAACAACTCCTACTTATTGACTTTTATAATCAGAGCTCAGAACTATTGCAAAGAATTTCATACCCAATGAAACTCCTAAATGGAAAAATAGCAATGTATATCACCCACCTTTAAAAACAGAGTCCAACATATAATATCTAGTTCAAGTCGCGAAGCATGGAAGCTGGTCAAAACCAATGCACAAAGATCAGATAATATGCAACTCGCTCACCTTGCCATGTTGACTGTTGGTAACTCGCAATTTTTGTGTAATTGACCCATTACCACTTGCAGGAAGTGTATTACTGCTAGCTGGATCCAAGTGCAGTTGAAGAAACTGAGATTGAAAACACAAAATAATGTCACAGCGGCAGGCACAAGGAAGCAAGCAAGAAGTACTCCATGTAATTTGATTGTCTACCTATGTTGAACTAATATAGAGTCATCATCAATCAATAAAGATGAGTTAGATCATAGCATAAATTTACTGAAAGACTCGAGGAGATTGTGTGATGAAAAAATTTAACAAGAAAACACAGTAGTACAGAATGTAACCCCTGATATATGATGGCCAATTAATTCAAAACTTTCTGTGGTACCAATTGCATGAAAGCACCCTTCAAAGAAAAGTTAAGGTAAAAATTATGAGACAGAGATCTCCCCCCCCCCAAAAAAAAAACTGAGAAAAGTACAACAATAGAAAGAAAGATTAGTGGATGCCTCTTGTCTGGTATTACCTTTGGGACTGCTGCCTGGAAAATAAAATCTGTGTATACATTAGGTGACTTATTAGTAAAATTGGCCTCAATTAGTGTTGTCTGAGGGTTTCCAGGCGACTTTGAAAAGTCGAACATTATTCTCAAGGTGCTGCTCTCAAATGCAACTACTGATGGATAAGCAGAACCATTGCCTTCTGTCATTGAAAAAAACGTTTATCAATATTGCATGGAAAAAACATGCAGAGCCAATAAACTTCGAGTAAAATGAAGACCATACCAGGGATTGCCGGGTTGTGAACAAACCCATCCAACAAATCCATCACAGGAGAACCTCCAGAGGGAGAAGATGCTTGTAAGGAAGTAGGTGACGACAATCTCTCTAACACACCTGAATTTTTGCTGTCTTTACTGGAGGATAATTTGTCAGGTGTAGATGATGTACTTTGAGCTGGAGGTGTTCCGATTGATAAAAGATCCAGTAGGACATCTGTGCCACTCTTTTGAGCCTGATTTGTGCCTGAAATGCAAAGAGAGAAACTAGATGTACAGTCCTGATTTGATAAAATAAATAAGAATACTAATACACCAACGTCACTTTCAACTCCAACACATTCTCTAGTTACCCCTGCAAGAATATCTAAAAAGTAGCAGTTGTCCACACAGAAAGCAAAGAAATGTGGTAAATTTCACAGCACATTCAAGACTAGGTTGCAAGCGCTCATAATAACTGTGCATTGATCCTCTTCCAGTCGCTATTTTAGTTAAAAACTGAGCATTTGGATCCTATTTGAGATGCAACTTTAGCTCAAGTGAAGGTCTATGAGAAGAAGAACATTCCAATGACAAAAGTGAACTGGCAGAAATCGTTGTTGTAAAATTAAAAACTTGGTCCACTGCTTGCAAATCTTTGAAGAGTTCAGCTAGAAGTATAAGGTCATGTTAGAAGTGTAACAGGCACAATCAAATGCAAGCCTAAGATATAGGTCTTGCATGCTGCTCCAGGGGTCCATTCAACCTGCATCCAGCCTATTATCCCTCGTCTCATAAACTTTTACAGGAAAGACTTCCAAGAGCTATTAGCTTAGGACAGAAAACTTGATTGTTTTCTAGACGGATAGATTTAACTTTTTAGGATTGGTTGGTCTGGAATGGATTGATTCACTCTCGCTTCATATATCTGCCAGACGCCACTTCTGGTGAAAAGAACAAGATATACAAAACCGCTAGGCAAATTCACACTTATAAAAGTCATTCATTGAAAGAAAGAGGACTACAATAATCAGGATCTTAGATGAGGTCATGATCTTCACAAAGGCTTAGCCATAATGGTGCAGAAAGTCTTGAACCGAAGAGCAGGTGAAACAGAGAACAAATAGTTAAAGCTATGCATTATTCATAGGCACTTGTGCCAGAGAAAAGGAATTTTACCGGAGACCATATACTGTAACACATCCCAAAACTAACCTGATAGAGGAGAGGTTGGTGATAAATCAACACCAAGAAGATCCTGCAGAAAATCACCACCAGAAGAGCTTGGTGCCGGGATGTCATCTGAACTTAGACCGAGCAAATCAACAAGAGGAGCAGCAGTGGTTTTGGCAACTCCATTTGGAAGATTAAGTGCAACCACTTGTGAAGTTGAAACGGCTGCCGGCAAGGAACCAGCCCTCCTTCCACTGTAAGCCACCTCATCGAGAACAGGCATCCTCTCAACCAGCGCAGACCTGCTTAGACTCATCCAGCAGCTTTGTAAGATAATGACCACCTAGGACAAATTTTAAAGGGCAGGAGAAAAAAAAAGGGGGAGGGGGGGTTAAGAAAAAGAGCAGAGCTCTTGATAATTTCATATATATCCATACCTGATATTCTGATGCTTCTCAATGATGGAATTAAATTCAATGGATCTCTGCTGCAGTTCAAGCACCAGGCTTCCTTTATATTGCACAGTGATATCATTTATCCTCCTACAGAATTTTTAGATCATATTTGTTACTGCAGAGAGATCCTTAAAAAACAGAATATGCCAAAAGGAAAAATTGGATTATGACATTCATTATCGATATGCAAAAGACAAAGTGTCAAGAACTACTTGATGATTGAAGACATAGGGTAGTGAAGTATGGGAACACACTGGACTGAAAGAATGAAAAATGCCAAGTATTGAAAGTGTCACATACAAAGTTTACAGAAGGAAAAATTGAACAGAGCAATAGCAATGTAAGGAAAAAAACTACAAATTGGACATAAACGTGATACAACTTGGTTCTCCTGTAGCTAGATCCTCCGTAACCGATATGGTATCAAAGGAAAGGGGAAAAATTATCATTTTTTTCTAGCAATGGAGAACGAAAAGATATACTCAGAAAATCAAAGGAATCCCCGGATCACTATTTGATCTTAAGACAAAATCAAGGACCCAGCCAACAACCTTATCTGAATAGACAATAAGACAGCCTTTAACTGAAAAGGAACTTCATTTGAATTAGAGGTAAGGGAGATGCTATTAGAAAGTCTAAAGGCAAAGACTAGTGAGATCTGGATTGATTAACGATGAAAGAGCACAAAGACTTTTTTCAAGATCCATCTCCGCTAAATTCGAAAACCAGAAATTGAGAGGTGATGTGGTGAAACTCAAAAGGAACAGAGGCAGAATACTCTAGGAGATGAATTCTATAAAAATGTATTCTTAAAAAGAGGAAGTAATTACAAGAATCAGGATGATATAGAGCGAAAAATAGGTCAAAATGAAATATCAATAGAAAGAGTTCCTTAAAATCTTTGTGAAACAACTACCGATTAGAAGGCACCGATACTGTTTCAATTGATGAAATCAAAAAGATGAATTAACACCAAGTTAGAATCGAGGAACAAGTACTTGAATCAAATAATGCAAGTAGGACTAAAATTAAAGATATGGAGTTCAATTTTGGTAAACGAAGAATTAGAAATACCAAGGAAGTAGAAAACTACGAGTTACCCAAGATTGAATAGTTTTGCTATCTAAATCAATTGAGGGTGAGATTGAAGATGATATGACACATGGAGTCAAAAGAGGTTGGCTCACGTGGAGAAGTGCCGCTCAATATTTATAGGATGTCTATAATGCCAGCTATGTTTTAGTGGAGAAAATGTTGGACAACTAAGAAGCAACACATTAACAAAAGTTGTAGCTGTAATGAGTAAGTTAATATAGTGAGTGATAAGACTAAACAACATAGAATTAGTAATTAAAATATCCAAGAGACAGTAAAAGTAGAACCCACTGAAGATAGGCTGAGAGAAACCAAATTACGGTGGTATGGACAAGTATGACGAAGACCGAAAGACGCACCAGTAAGGAAGTGACATAATCACTGTTGGTGGAAATGCTAGGGGGAAGGGAAAGACTCAACTTGACATGGAAAGATGTAGTATATAATGGTGGTAGGGTACGACCATGAGAGAATGCATTCCGGGATAGGCAGCTAATGCTAATCTAATAAGTGGCAGACAGGGACCTCATCCTTCAAAGGTTTGGTGTATATTTGTCCTATTCATAACGACCCCGACCTTGTATGAGGGAAAGCCCTATTACTCTACACAGGCTAGTCCGGCCAACAAGAGCTTATCAAATTCCACCTATGTGGCAGAAAACTCTTGAGTTCAATGTTGAATAGATACAGTAGAAAAAAGAGGAATGAGCTGAACAAACTAGAAAACCAAAAGCACATGTCCAAGAGAAAGATCTTGAATAATTTCGAAAACAACCTAAGAAACATTTACATTAAAATGGATTCACTGAAATACATGTCTGACGTTTCGTTAGACCTATAAAACCCTGCACAAGTTTATAGGGCCTCTGGAAAAAATGTGAATCTAGCAAACTGCAAGCAACAGAAGCAATCTCTGTGTAGTCAGGAAAACAAAAGATGTGAACATACTTTGAACAAGATGGAAAACGACAAGACAGCTTCAACAAGGCAACCAGACACATTGCCCGAGTGGTGAGATTTGAGGTATGTCGCTTACTACCCATCTCTATAACATCCACAGCATCAGACTCTGTAACCTGTATCAATATGAAGTTACTACTTTCCAATTCAATCAGAAATATAGAGTAATGCACAAAATAATTATAATATACAGAAAAAAGATGCAAGCATCCAGTAGGCTTGTCAACTATCAGAAACATAGTTAAATTAGTGATGGTGCATCTATTTGGTTGGTTGGACCAATATAATCGACTTTGGAGTCTTAAAAGAAAGACTAAACATCCATTTGGTTGGTTGGACCAATATAATCGACTTTGAAGTCATAAAAGAAAGACTAAACAATTTTGGTCCAAAGGCAAGTGTGATTGGTAGTTTATTAAAATTAGTTTGGTAGTTTATTAAATTTAGTTTAGGTGTACTAGTTTGACTAGGACTATTAGTAAGAGTTTGATACCATTCCTGTTATACACACTTCCCATTGTACTAGTTGGCTGCTTCTATCCTTGTCACCTACGAATTAACCATATTAGTTAAACTTATTCAACCATAGTCACCTTTAGAGATTTCACCCATTGTTATGTAAGTAGAAATACAAGAATTATTTACCAGAACCTTCTACTTTTAATACTATAGTATCTTTTAGTCAACTGAAAATTTTACTTATCACAGTTCTTACCTTAACGTTTTCAATTATGCACAATAAGAGCATTGCAGAGTATATGGATGGAAACTTTTACAATGAGAACTTCTATAGCATGCATATTTCCAAGTTGGTACACTTCAGCTCATCATCTACCACAATGCAAAATAGATCACCATAAAATAAAATGGAGCTAAAGAAGAAGTATGAACTCACTGTTATTGGTTCCTCTATGTCAAGCATCCCAACATTATTGACCAACATTTCACCGTACTCTCCAATGCACCACACTGCCACTCGAACAAGAGTTTCCTAATCAAAACAATGTAAGCAATCCTTTAAGACAAAGCACATATAAAAGCATACATAATAATTCATATATTCAAAGTTTTCCAAAGTAAACATTCACTTACACATCACAAAAAGTATTAAGTACCTGTTCACCTGATGTTTGCATTGCTTTGTATAATGACCTTACTGTATAACCATGAAGGTTAGAAGCATTGCTTATCACTACAATAAGGGCATGCCATACTTCATCCTTCACATAATTTCCAGCCTACTAAGAATACCACAAAGATCAGTACTTGTCAAGGTGGGAAATGCAAGGTTGCTAACATCACAATAGGCTAAAATGAAGGAATACAAAAATAAATGCAATGCGCAGAATTTCCTGACAAGGAGGAATTAAAGTGATAGAATCGCATATTTGACTCATGACTAACTGCATAAATGTATGAACAAATAGAATGTATCCACAGATCTGTATCCACTTAAGAAGATCAGCAGTTCAATTTATACTGATACAGAACATAAACAACACCTGATCCAAATGAAATCAAAAAAACAAAATACTGTAGACATTAGGATAGCATTATTGTATCTACTATTAAGTTGTATGCTGATTAATTCCAATCAATTTCAACGCTCTGAGAATATATATATTTGAAGAATATTTCCCAAAACCTCTCCCAGGTCAGCTCTGATACCGATACCTCGTTAAAGCATCCAACACAAAATCAATTGACAATAAGTGGAGAGTCCCACATTTGCTCCCATAATTGTTTGAGGTGTTATCTTTGTTGATGTTGGACAATTTCTAACAATATACTTCTGTAAATTCGAGTAAACCAGAGTCATCACTTTGGCAGGTACAACAAAGTGACATAGCCAGAGTGTAATAAGCCAGTGGATCGAGCACACCTATCCTAAAACTCTCAAATGGCTTCAAAACAATAGATGCGTTCCATACAGTACAAATTCACATTAAAACGAACAAGCTTTCCTGTGAATGAAGTTAGCCAGATAGAAGGAAAGAACATTGAAAAAATAACCAGAAAAGAATTAACATTAGTTGGTTCATGAACAGGATTTCCAGATAGAAGGAAAGAACATTGAAAAAATAGCCAGAAAAGAATTAACATTAGTTGGTTCATGAACAGGATTTTGGTTACATGGTCCTGACAACCAAGTGCTTGGATGGATAAGTGTTTTGGAGTATTGTGTGACCAACTCATATATTCACACATAAGAAAGCTGGAAAGAGTTGGGCATAAGGGCAGCCATACAATATGGCACAACAAAACTAGAAATAAATGCTGGCCACCAAAACTATAAAAAGATAGAAATTACTGTCATAACAATATGAAGCATTTGAAATCACCAAGAAGATGAGAACATGCCAGGAATTAGTAAAATGACAACAATGGAAAAGCCTAGAGATAAGTATGTCATGAAAAATGAACAAATGTTAACCAATGACTGAACCAAAAGGTGAAATAGTCTAAGTCAATGCACCCAAAGGAAAGAAGGTAGTCAAAACAAACACGGGTTCAGTTTGTGACAAAATAAAAAGACAATGTGCATACATTTAATGCTAAGCAGGGGCCCAACATGATAGGATGGTGAAAACGGTTAATGAACCTTTTGACATGAAAAGAAGTAAAATATCCATTAACCATGCTATGCATTAGAACAAGCCTCAAACATATAGTCTAAAATCAATAAATTGGACAACTGATGATTTTACTGCATTACCTCAGAAAGAACCTTGAGCATCTGATCAATGTACCAAATTTTCTCTTTGGAGAACCTAGATCACCAGACAGAAAAATGTTAGTAGTCTACTTACTTTAAATCATGTTGGATGCCAAAAAATAATTTGATTTGTTCTTATACCGTCGTTCTTAACCAATCATCATCTGCAGAGTAGAGAGAAAAATAGCATGAAATCACTAGTGATAAACTTCCAAACTGAATCAAAATTGCTGTTGGGTCTGATTTTCTTGTTGGTCACAGGGAATCAAGTGAAAAAGTGAACCCCCCCCCCCCCCCCCCGAAAAAAAAATACTTGTGCTAGGGGCAGCCCATTTTGCAAGACCACCTATCTAACAGAGAGTATAGCAATGAAGGCCCAATGGAGTCGTGATTTTTGTTAAGGTGGCAAACCATTTCTCAGAGCTTGGAATACCATCAGTTAATCCAGACCCATTTCCCAATTTAGAGGCTACAAGTTCACCATTCCAGCATTACTCAGGAATGTACACATATAAACCACTAACCATGACTACTATGAAGCACAACCACTATGCACTTTTTTGGGACGAAGGAAGAAATTATTAAAATCTTGTAATGGACAACCTTTTAACTTACTTTTCCACGATAGAGCAAATTTTGGCAGTAAGATCCCCCTTGAACTCCTGGTCACTCACTTCTAGATAGTCAATTAGCTCCTTCATCAATGGCTTTACATTGCTTTCATTCACTAGGAGATACACAAGTTCAAGGGCCCTTCTACGAATTGAAGCATCTGAATCCTGAAAAATGAATAAGCAAAGTCATGAACTTAAGTTGTACAGCACTTTAATAGGATGTGCACAGTATTTAATTTTCTGCTCAATCAATTACACAGGAACATCCCAAATGAGCCATGTCAGAATATGTGCAAGAAAAGAAATCTAGAGTACAGAACATCAAATGCAGAAGAGTTGTTTATCAAATGATACTGTATTTTCCTTGGCCTACCAAGAATAGACAAATAAGAGCACAATTCTTCTGACAAAAGAACAAAAACTCTTTTGCACATTTTTCAGCATAATATAACTAGCAATAAATTAACTAGCCCAACCTTCACACATTCCAAGATTGTTGCTCGATGCCTCTGCACTGCCTGAGTATCCACTGTAATAGCTTTCATCAGCATATTCAATGCAACATACCTGACAGAATACAAGAGTTTCAACTCCATAAGATAGGTCTGACCACAAAAAAAAAAAAAAAAAGCCTAAAAGAAGGGAGATGCATCAAGAATTGGCTCATGGTATCACCTCTAATGGACATTAATGTGGTGATAAACAGTTTCATGCTAAGAGTTCCATGTATTCATGTCATCGACCACTACCAATCTGAGCACCTAGGTTGTTTTACTTAATTAGGTAAGGAAATCCCACTTTGACCTGAAGCTGAAAGAGGTATGGGGAAAGGGTTATGGATGAACGATATTGTATTTTTGGGCCTTGTTATTATTATTTGGTTGTGTGTGTGTTGGTTGCGGGGGTGGGGGGGGAGACAGAAGTTTCCCTCTTGGCACTCTTGGCAGTGTGGGGTCAGAAGTTTCAACTCTACATAATTAAGTCGCTGTACCTCAGCAAAAGGAATAAGAACCACAACACGAAAGTTGCAGCAAAATAGACGAATAATAACAGAAAAACAATCAACACAAAAAAGAGGTATTGCACTACAATATTAAATGCAAAACATCAAAGAGGTATGGCATTACAATATTAAAGGTAAACAAAGAGATAGGATATTCTTATAGTCTGAGTAAACACAATAGAATTTGGTCTTAAATAAGACCAGATTGATTTAGCCTTGTCTAGTCAAGCCCCAGATGAACGACACAACCAATTAATTGAAAAAATGACCTGATATTGTTGTCTCGGTTTGACAAGAATCTTCCCAGAATATTGATGGCAAGCACCCGTAAACCACCATTATCTTCAATGCTCATAATTGTTGCAACACTTTCATAGAGGATGGCATTGCCTGCATTTTTGTTCGATTCGGTTTTTGTTGCCACCTAGAAGAGAAACATAACATGTAAGAAAGACTGTAAGCAAATTTGCCACATGAACCGCATATCATTTTCTTTGAGTGTTCAAATTCTAGAGCTTCCCGTCCATAGTAGAGCTAATAAAGGTCAGTCCCAGCAAATATACTCATCCACATTCAATATGGATAGAAGGAACAAGAATCCTAGGCTAAGAAGATATAGTGACTCAAGAATGTATGACAGGACCAGCACAATAGTACTAATGTATCAAGCCAAGCATAGACAATATGTATAAGCAAGGATCAAGGATTATGAAGACACATCTAGCGCCTCATTGGTGTGCATGTCCCACAGAAACATTCAGCACACAAACTTAAATAGCAAGGAACAGGGACATATTTTCAAACTTCTAGATGCTTCTTTTTCTCCACTCTTCTACCATTTCTTAGAAAATCTGAAACTTTTTCGTTTCTTGTATACAATACAGTCTTCGATTAATAGAAGTCTATGGATAGTAGTCTCAGGATTCCCTAGAAAGTGTCACCATAGAGCACATGTTTGCATCGTAACAACCTCAGAACACAAAAATATACACCAAAGCTTCAAGGGGTCAGCTAAATTTGAGTTTTACCCTCCCTTTCCAACAAACCAAAACTTTTTGGCCGCAAAAAAAATTGGTCTCCAATTATTAGCAAGGAAAAATCTCCCTAAGGGAGGCCAGACGCCTGATTAAGGATCGACCTCATCAAAACCAGCATTCTTCCTTCCAAGGTACAGGGCCTAAATTTTGACATAATTCACTAAAAATGCTTGTGGTGAGTACTTCACCCTTACCCAGTCAATATTAAGAATTAATGATACTTCTGTTTTAAAGTAGCAGATATTTCTCGATCAATTAGTCAATGTTTGTAGGCCAGGTGTCCTCCTTTAGTCATTGCAGCAATCTGCCAATGGTTTTCTTAACTTCTGCTGGTTTCCTGTGCACACACACACACACACATTCCTCACCAACAGACCCACCACCTTGTGCCAAAACCATCCACACCAACTAGGAGACTCCACTTGATGATCTATACTGACATAGAAACGGAAGTGATGCTCCAACTTTCAAGGGCAGTTGGGACACCAAATTTCAAATTCTGATGAAATGTCCCTACCTTTCATGCCTAAGTAGACTCGCGATGTGACTCTTTTTTCTTTAGCAGGTGATAAAACAAGTAAGAGAGAGAAATGGGAAAGAAAGAGTGGTTAAGGTTAACTGGGAAAAGGCGAGAGGGGAAGAGACAATGGAGATGATAGGCCACAGTTGGAGAAGTGGATGTTAAAATAAAGATTTTAGGTAAATAACAAAGATAAAAGGAAAGACATTGCATAGATTTTAAAAGTACTAAATAAATTTGAAATGCAATTATATGCTGCAGTAGTTAGCAATCTGATACAGCAAAGATTTTGAGACAGCATGGATGCCTCGAGGAAAATACTCATCAAAGTTATCATAGAAAACATATTCAGAGATAACTGATTAACGCAATCAAGGTTTCAGTCAGAAGAATACAGATACATTAAAGTGAATAAATTTGCAAATGACATGGTAAGCAGTCGAAAATTTGAATTTCGACTAAAAATAACACTTTGTTTAAAAAAAACTAAGAAGAACAGGACACGTAGCAGCATTTAGCATAGAACAAAAGCTGACCTGAGCAAGTATGTCATTCATAGAATCACTAGCATCAGCATCTCCTTGGCCCAACACACGCAAAAGCCTTAGCAATCGGATATGGAGAAAAGGGTCTGTAATCCCAGCAATGTCATACTCGGGTGCATATGGACTGTTCACAACATCCTTTAGAACTTTGACCAAGCCTTCTGTACATTTCTGAAACCATGGGGAAAAAAAAAAGGAGAAAAAGAAAAAGAAGGATTGTGCTATGAGAAACTGAACAGTGTATACTTCTATCCATCAAGAATGATGCACACAAAAGCAACAAGAATATATACTGAGCGCAGTTCTACAACAAGCTTAACTGTGAATATCTTCCGCTACTAAAATATGACCAATAGTAGTGATCCAAAAAGAAAAGGATATATTTTTAAGGTGCAGAAACATCCAAATCACTTTTCTAAAAATCCTACAGTGAAAGTAAAACCATATTACCAATTCCAGGGCTGTAGAAGACCAAATATTTTCTCTCACCAAAAGTCCAAGACAAAAAGCACTCCAATTAGTCAGAAATCTACACTGGACTACTGAGAATCCTCAGTTGATACCCGATCTGGGAAAACCTATGATAAGAACTCCAAACATTGATCAACTCTTTATCAAATAGAGAAGAGAAGGCTATTGCGTCCCCTTGCATTTTGTTATCCTCTTATATGCCAAATCTAAGAAAACTGTCTGAACAGTACCCGTCACCAAGCTGAGTATATCATATATAACGTCCATTATTGCATATTATGAGAAACAAAGGACCATAGGGAAAATAGGTAGATTTTGAAGGGTGGACCGGAGAGGTGAAGGCCAATGCCATAGAAACAAAAAAAAAAAAAAAGAGTTAAAGTTTAGATTATGAAATCGGTGTTGTGGTGTTGTTAAAGTATATCAGCCACAGCTGTTTTTGTAAATTTATTTTTATGTACAGTCATGGACTTGCACACATGTACTGAATCAAATTTCATAACAGAGTTGTAAACAATTTCATATTGACTGGTCTTCAAGCTTGAATCATCAAAACAAAGAGTGACTATACAATCAGAAACCCATATAGTTAGCTCACAAAAGTTTTTCCACATCAATAACAGTAACTTCTATGAAGCTCAATATGCCAAATGATTTTTCACCCAATCCTGTAGGTGACATATTGAGAAAGACATGGTCACTTTACCTTTCTGAAATACTCGAGTGCCTCTGAACTGACTTTGCATAAATCTGTACAAAGCTGAACTCCCGTCAAAAGAACTCCATGGTGCTTTTCTTTTAGCAAGGAAGCAGCAGGGTTTATAAAATTTTCTGCCAGGTCTGGGACTTTTTTTATAATCCTTATAGAGCATAATGCTGCCTGCATTACAGAAACTTGGGTAAATAGTCAGATAAATTAAAGGTGGAGATAAATAAACATCAAATGTCAAAGAGGGCACAAGTCTTGATAATTTTTTCAAGAAATTCCGAGCCACCAAACCGCCTTTTAACTGCCTTTATCCCCCCAAAAAAACCAGAAAACCATGTTGTTATATGAAAAAAAAAAAAAAAAAAAAAAAAAGAAGAAGAAGAAGAAAATTATCAATGGACAAATTTTTATCTATTTTGCTTTGTTTTAAATTGAGAGCAAGACCATAGATCACACATAAATCCATCATTCTCCACTTCAGAAAAGTGAAGTACAACAATTACATCCATATAAATTCACATTCAGTTAATCAAGAAGATTATAAACCTCCCCACAAGATAAAAGTAGACTGATGCAAGGTCATAGCATGCAAAAATCCCCAAAAGAATTAGTTGGTCACCAACTCTCTCACCATTTACTAAGTTGCTGGCATGAGACGAAAAGTACAGGGATTTAGATCCCAAAGATTATAATAGTAAGTACATTGAATGTCTAGTTCAACCCTCCTGCCCCTGGCGCTCTCTTTGTACCCGGTACCCGCAGAAAGTAATTTAAATAACACCAACATCTCTGTTCTAAGCTCTTTTGCTCACACAGATAGTTCAGCCTTCTGAATACATTCCAAATATTATATTCTTCAATCCGAAATTCGCAAACATGGGATTCTTAGACTTTACACGAATAAAATTACTTTCAATAAAAAAGGTGTCACAAATCTCGGGGATATACGTCAAACAAATTAATCCCACTCATGCATTTCTAGGCAGTAAAATCCTTGGCAAGTATCCATAAAAGGAAGCTATTGCAAAGACTTACTTTTTTCCGAATATTTGGGTCACGAAATTGCAGCAATCGTTCAACTTCTGGCGCAAGATCACGAGCCATTTCTGCAGAACATATATTGCCCAAAGCACAGAGAGCGAGTCCCACGATATATTGATTGGTGTGATTAAGATCTCTGTGCACAAGTTAAGGTATCCAAACAGAGATATAGACTTACGTTTTTTGTCCCAGCAAGGATGAATTAGTGATGATAAAATTGTGAAATTTGAATGCACGTGGAGTAAACTGGTATGTTCCCTCTTTTTTTTTTTTTTTTTTTTGAGGGGGTTGGGGTGGCTTTACTATACAAAAACAAGTGATCCAATATAAAGTGATTTTAAGTGACTCAATATTTTTTTTTTTAATCAAAAAAAAAAATATAATGTGATTTAATGAATAATACACTTAAAATGGATACTGTTTCAATGAGTTTGTGACCAACATTAGAACTTCCTGCCTTTCATCAAGGAGCAGCATAAGACCAAGATATCCCATTCTCTTCTCGGGAAATCCAGGAGCTGCAATTAATTTCAGGCATTCCATTTGACCAAAATGTGTAGGGTAACCGAGCATGTGAATAAACATGAGCTTTGCCAGATTCCGATGCCTATAATCTTGATCATTGTCACCAACTGATGCACGAATGGCAGCACACTCTTTTCTTACAACGGCACGCTCCTCTGCTGCTGTTTTGCAGGCACGTATGGCCCGAATCATGTCCCTGCATTGAAGCAGTAAGCATAAACAATGTAATGATCTTAGCATCTACAAGTTAATGATATACCACCCATTTCCATCACTACTGGAAGAAAATATAGCAATTATGCCTTGAAGCAGAATAAACATATTGTCACAGACAGATGGGAAGCAGGGACACATCCCATGAAAAGAAAACAATGCATAGTTGGAAAAACCAGGATGAAAATTTTTATGAGGCCCTTGCAATGTCTGAGCTGTCATAGACCTTTAGTCTTAATGGCAATACAATATCATTAGGTATAATTCTTCAAGGTACTAAAAGAGATGAGAGCAACATATGTCCAAACAAGATTGCTAGTGTTAAAGCAAATATCTAACATCAAAATTTACCACATCTAATTCCACTAATACTAAGAAATCCAAAACTATGTCCCTCATGAGTTTTGGAAGAAAAATTTGCAATAGATCATTACTAAGAACATGCATCCAATCTGAGATGGTCTTAAATTTGGTCATCAAAGAGAAAAGAAGCTTTCACAATGCTGAAGGGAGTTGCAGTCCATAAAAATAGACATCTTGTTAAGGTAGCTAGAACACTTGTGACTTAGGAAGCACGGATACAGACCCAGGTGCTGTATCCGATACGATACGAACATGAGGATACGACAAAATTTCAAAATATAGGATACGGGTACGGCGAGGATACAGCTAATTAAAATAATATAACATATTTTTATATATATAATAACATTAATAATAAAATTGAGTAATTAATTAATATTTTATAATTGGACAAATGAGCTAACATTAAATTTAATTAGTAGACTAATATGTTATGGACAGTGGGCTAAACCAAATTGGGTAGTGGGTGACAATTAATAAGGTATGATTGTAATTTAACATAAAATATAAGAAGTTCCAGGGTTATTTGTAAATTATTTTAGCAACTAGGGAAAAGAAAAAAATAAAAGAAAATAATAGGGGCTAAAATGTAAATTAAGGCAAGCAAAAAAAACAAAAAAGAAAAAGGCACCCCCTTATTGCTTTTCAACAACTAGGGTAAGTCAGATGAAATTGCAAAGAACTCAGACGGCGTGAGACCAAGCGAGAGAGAGAAGGGGTCGAAGAGAAACTTGAAGATGAAGACGACATGCCTACTCAAAGAGGAGGAGATCTGTGATTGTGGCTGATTAGGTACATCGTCTTCTTCCCCCCTTTTTTTCTGGTTTCAAATCCATGGTTGTGGTCGTATCCCTCCATATCCACTCCGTATCCGAGTCATATACGTCCATATCAAATACTTCTTCACTATTTAGGACACTTGTGAAAGTATCGAACATGTGTCCGGCCGTGTCTCACGCGTATCCGTGTCAGACACGTGTCCAACACCGCCACGTCGACCCCTGAGGAGTATCCATGCTTCCTAGCTTGTGACTTATATGAATGTTCCAAATCAATTTTGGCGATAGAAAATCTTCCAGCTTGTTATCATATTAATTGTGTGCCTTCCTTTGTTCTTCGTGCTAAATCCTAATAAGTCTTCATTTGCCTTACCTCCACAAGTATTTGGTCATGTGTCTTTGGTCAGCGGACAAGATATAAATGCATCTCACCACTCTGTTGTTAGTGCCAGTATTGCCTTCTTATATAAGGTACATCATTCTTGTATGCTGCTGGTCCTTACGTTGACTTGATGTACTCCAATCTTCGTCCATCCCTTTTCCATTTGCTCCCGTTATTATTTCCATTAGTTCTTCAGCAATGAGTAAACCATTTCACGTATATCACAGACAACCACAAAGTTGAGCAGAAATGAGACTTGCCGGAGCGGTTCTTCTTCGTCCACCCTACCTAAAAGTCTTTGTTCCATCTTATTTGGATTTTCCTATTTCCCTTAAGAAAGATCCTAATCTTGATAAGGTTGCTTCTTTTACTCATTTGTAGGCAAAATTTTGGTTTCTTGCTGATATTTATTCTTTGTCTCTCCTCCTCGCTATCACACGCATGCATTAGTATCTTCTCATTACTGAAAGAGTGATATGGATGAAGAACTACTTCAAAATGCTGAAAATGGTAAATGGGAATTAGCAGACTTACCTCTAGGGAAACATATAGTGGGTGGCGAATAAGTATATGTCATTAAGTATCACCTTGATGATGCGGTTGAGTAGTCAAAAGTTCAGTTGATGACTATGAGTTACACCCAAACTTTTGGAATAATTACTTTGAAATTTTCTAGCTTGTGTCTCATCTCAACTTTACTCGGCCCTTGTTGTCTGTAACTGTTAATAACTGGCCCCTATATTGACTAAACACTAAGAATGTTTTACTTTTTGGTGATCTTTGGCAGGAAGTGTAGATGGAAAAACCTCCTAGAATGTCGGTCAAGAGACTCATATTGGGTGTACAAGTTGAAGAAAGAAATTGATGGGGTCAAGAGTCTCCTAAGGTTTGATCTAATAAATTCAATCAAATAACATGTTCCTATGGATTGAAAAGAACCATGCTTGATCATTTTGTGTTTGAGGGATAGTGAGGGTAATATTATTCTTGTTGTCTACATATTTGATATAGTAATGACTAATGAATGGTGATGATCTCGAGGGTATATTTTTATGAAACTCCACGTGACAACCTTTGGGAAGCTATGTTATTTCTTGTGAGTGAGATTCGAGAGGTTTAAGTAAGGGGTATCACTGTCATATAGGAAATATGTCCTTGATTAGCTTGAAGAGACTGGTATGATGGGACCAAACCAGTTGACAGTCCGATGGATCCAAATACCTAGTTCAATAGAAATGAAGGAGCATTTTTTTATGATCCAAGGAGATATCGAAGACTCATACCTAATCCATTTGGTTGTCACACGTCCTGACATTACTGTGTGTCATGGGAGTAGTTAGTTAGTTATGCAGGGGCCAAATAAGCAATGTTGGGAAACTCTGTGTTGCATCATAGGGGATTCAAAGAATGCAAGGAATTGGTCTGATAACCTTTTGAAGTTTGGAAATGGTCGATTTTTCAGATGCAAATTGTGCAGGTAATCGTCAAGACCAAAAGTCTATGATGGAGTTCAGCCCTTTAGTAAAAGGTCCGCTAGTTTCATGAAATAATAAAATAAAATAAAAAACTGTGAAAGCTAGGTCCATTGCACAGGTCGAGTACGATGTAATGGCTCACACATGTGAGATGTTTTGCGTGATATTGTTGTTTCAAGAGATGAGAATATCCATTAATAAGTCTGCGACAATGTATTGTGACAATCACACTGCTATACCAATATTCTACTGTTTCGTGGGAAAACTAAGTGTAGAATTTGATTGCCACTTTCTTTCGAGAACCAATGTTGAAGAAGTAAAATGTACATTTTCTCTTAAGCCAAGTACTCATATAGGAGATTTGTTGAGTAGGAGAGTGAGTGATGGATAATTTTTGGATCTTTATAAGAAGCTGTGCATGATTGATATGAGGGGACTCAGGGAATGTTAAGAGTTATTAATGAGGGCATTTGGTAAATTTTTTGTTTATTAATTTTTGTAGGGATGGTTGCAGATTGAGGTAGTCAATTTTCCCTTCTCTATCCTTTCTCCACGGAGTCCTTCACACAGACTCAATAGCCCTGTTTGCATCATAAATATACACATTAGTTTGCATTTGTCATTTCTCTGTTTGGCTCTCATGATCATCCACTCCCTACACATTGTAGTAAAGTATTTCAACGTATTAGTTTAATTAAAACCAAAAGACTACATCGTTTAATTGAGGCTTATCACACCCCCAAATGTCCTTTTCGTCCACAGCGCCTACTATAATAATTCTTTCACATTAAACTAAAGTCAAGCAATGCATTCTAAGCATAAGTAATTAACACACTTTTAAGCGTTGCAATCTTCTTGAAAATGAAGAAATATTATACAGCAACAATGTCAAAACTCAAAAATTCCAACTTAGGTCCATTCAATTGCGTCATATTGCAAAATTAACATGCTTGATCCAAAACAAAATTGTTAGAAGAGAGAAAATATATGAGAGAATGCTAGTTGACTCACCTTAGTCGCGTTCCGGATGAGAAGGGATTCATGATTGGGTCCGTTTTGAAACTGTGCGATAGCTCGACCAGATCCAGGTGTGCTAACTTGACTATCAACCGATCAAATCACCGTAATCCCCAATTTCATGAATTTGAAAGAGCGAAGCTGAGAATCGAGATCTGGAGAGGTGAATTCAAGGATATGGCGAGGAATTATAGGCTGTTGTATGGAAATTCGGATCGAGGAATAGAGAGAGAGAGGGATGAGATAGATGAGTGTTGTGTAATGGCGATTTCTTTCTTCTTCCACTTACGATGGAGCTGCTCTGGGTGCTGTTTGTAGAACAGATGAAACCAGAACACACGCACTAAAACGCATTTTAAGAGCACTGATTGTGTTTCACCTGCGGGTGACCCAAAACACCTCACCTCAGAACGTGATTGGACACATTTTTAAATACAGTGAGGGGTTCTAAATTAATTTGAAATGAATAATAGGTTCTAATAAATATTAGAACTATTAAGCCATGGCTAATAATTGAGTCAAATCTGTCGAACTTATTTTTCTAATCGAGGTTAAAAATTGTTGAAACTTTATTTATTTAAGAAACGAGTCGAACTCGAGCCAAATTTGAATGGCTTAACTATTTTTCATATAAACGAGTCAAATTTTACTAGTTTGAGTCAAGTCTTTTGGATCATTTTTAATAATGATAAAATTTTGGGTATGAGCCGCTATAATCGAGAGCCCAATAGGTTCAAAAGCCTTCTACTTGCATAGTAGCCCAAATAATTCACCCCCAACCTATTCATGCCAAGATTAGAATGAACCACACTCAAAGGATGAAGCCCAATAATACCTGCGAGCTTAAAGTCCAGCCTCGCCCCAATCCAACAATCCAATTCAGTTGAAAGTCAGCTCGGCCCATTGTCGATCATAAAGCACACTCACAATAGGACACATTTACACTGTAGAAATCACACGACCATCATCTTCCTCACTGCTCATTCAGGTTATCTACACAAACAATCTTGTATTCTCTAAGCATTTTCGTGTAAAGGTTCTAAGCCAATAGTACTATTGTAATCACCTATTTCAAGCAATATACAATCCCAATGAGCAAGAGACTCCCTGGCAGTGGATATAACCTTAGTCCCTCAGTTAAGGTGAACCACTTATATCGTTCTGTTTCTTCTTTCACAACTTTACCCATTTCTAGTCTATATACTTGATTTGCATCCTCTCTGGACCAACTAGCTACGATTTTGGACTTGGGCTAACATTTTCGAACACCATCAAATTTTAAAAATTATTCAAATTTGATTTGTTTAAAAAATAAACCGACCTCGAACTGAGCCAAAAATGAGACAAGCTCAAGTAACTCGATTTAATTATCAGCCCTAATCACCACGCCAATCTTATGAGTGATTATTAAAAAAAAAATAGTGAAGATTTAAAAAACATATCATTTTTCTTTCTTTATTATCATTTTCAGCTTTACATCTATAATTTATCTTTTATCACTCATCAATAACATGGTATTGATACCTCCTTTCCATACCAACCAACCATGCAAAGATTTTTTGTATAAAATTATTGATGTTTTTGTTTGATTTGGCTAGATGCGGAGAGATGAAAATTAATAGAAAAGAAGAGTAGGGCAAAAATATAACTATTCTTTCTTGGGTTGATATTAGATGAAATATAAGATTGGACAAAAAAGTCAGTTTGGCATTCAAAAAAGAAAAAATAATGGTGATTATCAAGGGTATTTGATAATTTATGGTGAATACAATTAAAAATTAGGGAAACGATTGACTTAATGATTATTATCCCGTCTTTAAACACTTGTGCGTATGAAAGCTTGTCGTTCTCGGCTCTAACAATAATTTTTTTTTCCTACTTAATGGTGTTATCTTAATATTTTCACCCTGCAGTAAAAATATTTGATTTAAATTATAGTTACTAATTTGAAATTGTCGAACCCGTTATCACAATATCATCGAAGACAGACTAGACTTTCAGTCTCTCCAATAGTATGTGGTACAATAAACATTATTTTCTCCCTCTAATTTTTTTTTTTTAAACCTTGGGAATGATCTATCTAATGGTCAAATTTATTTTTTGAAAATAAAAAATCTCAAATTCGATATTTTTCACATCACTAACTACCTTTGTTCAGAATATATATTTGAGGGTTAATCTCAACTTGTATCTCGAAAGATCACTCAAATCTCAATTTATACCCTCAAAATTTATAAATATTAATTTACACTCTGAAAAGACATAAATTCGTATCAATGTGCATCTGCGTTAACTCCATTCATTTTATTGTTAAAAAAATTTGGACTAATTATAAATTATATCCCTCAAAGTTTAAATATATCATATTTATGATTCAGAAAGAATTTCATCATTTAATATTTATTAAATAGCTCTCAATTGTATCGTATCATAACATATTCGTGTTGTATTTGAGTCAATAAATTTTTTTTTTCAAACTTGAAAAAACAATTATAAAATACATATTTTTTACATACAATACTCGTTAAATAATTATTTTTTGTCTACAGTTAAACACAAATCTTTTAATTGTCCGATCAAATTAAAGTTAGATATGAATAACACAATTGTACACAACAAATAGTTATTTAACGAATATTAAATAATATATTTTATGAATTGTCGTAAATGTAAAATATATAATCCAATGCAATTGATTCGACACAAAAATATTTTTTGAATACGATACGAAGGTGTTATGACACGTTATAATTGATAACTATTTAACGACTATAAACGGATGAATTTTTTTTTTTGAATTATAAATGTGAAATATTTAAATTTTGAGGGATATAATTTATAATTAATTAAATTTTTTTTAACAGCAAAATAGATGACAATTTGTCTTAGGTATACATTAATACATATTTATATGTTTTAAAGTATAAATTAATATTTTTAAATTTTAAGAGTATAAATTAAAATTTAAATAATGTATCTTCCAACATGTAAGTGGAAATAAGCCATATCATTGTACTAGCTTGCATTATGGTGCCCAATCAGAACCCGAGGGAATAAAACCACCCCCAACCCCATCGCCACCTAACATAAAGGTTACTGCTTCTAACTTAACACGCACACACACCCAGAAAAGTTGGCTTCATCAGTGGGCAAAAGCTTTCACATTTAGCGGTCACCACCATGGCTTCACTCTACGCCCTCCCCATCCTCATCCTATTCCTCTTCGTTAACCTAACTTTCACTCACGGTACATCATACTTTTGCTTTTACAGCTTTATTTGTTCACCAATGGTTTTATTTATTAAAATTTCCACCTTTTTTATTGTTGTGCTTACAGTCTCGGCTCACATCGTCTTCGAAGAAGGTTACACAGTGACCACAGTCCTCGACGGAAACAAACAAAACGTAAATCCTCACTCCATCCTCCCTCTACCTGGGTCGTCCGATCTCATCATCCTCGACTCATCCAACAGTTCCCTTTACACCGGTTCGTTTAACACTTCCCAAGGTACTCAAATCAACTATTTCTTTTAGTTAAATACATCATAGTCTTCGGGTTTCATGTTATGCAACGATGAATCTGGGTGATCGGACTTAAACAGTTGAAAAATCCATTAATTGGTATAGAGTTCATTGGGTGATGCTCGCAATTTTAACAGAGTTTGTTTCTAATTTATATTTACTTAATTTAAGTGCGAAGATCTGTTTGAATTCTGGATCCGTTCCTGAATTGTTTTATGTGATTTTTGTGCTCAGATATTGTGATCAAAGGGTATGCGGGCACTGGGTTTGAAGGGTATTTGGATGGTGATTTGGGTTCTGCAACGTTTAACAAGCCGAAGAGTTTTGCGGTAGATTCCAAAGGGAATGTGTATGTTGCTGATATGAAAAATAATCATGCCATAAGAAAGATTAGCAAGTCAGGTATATCTCTACGGACTGCTGTTTGCTCAAACAAATATGCTTTATCAAATCGTACTGTTCTGTGTGTGAGTGCGTGCGTTTGCGTGTGTGTGAAGAAAAAAGCCCTTGATTTAATTATGTGCAACACTCAAAGTCAATTTATCATCGCTTTCAATTTTCCTAAAAGCATTAGTATGTGCTGGAAAGTTACCCAAACAGAAGGGGTAGCTTCTGATGTCCACTTTGAGGGACGACAATTGTTTTTTCAAGCATTTGTTTGCCGTATGGTTTACTTGAGAAACTAGGTTGGTGGAGGGAAGTAATAGCACATTTTTTCCCCCAAGTAGAGAGTCTACTCTCATACAAACCAAATTTCTTTGAAAACCACTTGGATATCAGAATCAGGCTCAGAAAGAATTGGGCATCCATCATATAGTTCAATCTGAAATGATTTCGAAATAGGTCAATTGTAGGATGCTACTTATCTCCCTTGATGGTTATGTGTGAATAAATAATAAAATATTGACCTCTTGATAATGCATTTTTAGGTGTGACCACGATTGCTGGTGGTTATTCATCAAAGCCCGGCCGTGCAGATGGACCAGCACAAAATGCTTCATTCTCTGATGATATTGAGTTGGCTTTTATACCTGAAAGTTGTGCTCTGATGATAGCTGATCATGGTAATAAATTGGTCCGTCGGATTGATTTGAAGCCAGAGGATTGTGCAAGTGGTTCTCAATCGGGTAAGCTTTTAAAACTTATGAATTTGAGAGCCTGGTAACTATACTTGTTAGTTATATCTTATTGAACATGATTATGAACGAAGATTTCTGGGTGTATTTTTCTTTTGGCTTTATGTTACTTCAACCCATAAACCCATGCTACAGGAGCAGGGTATGTTGAAAGTTGAATGGTTGCTAGTAAGTTCATTTCGATATAAAACAGTGCTAATGTTTTTGCGTATGAAGATGAATACTTCCTGAATCATATATGTACAAGGATATGTAGTTCTTTATGATAATAGATTTCACTCTTCTGAGATTGGTCTTATCTGAAGTATCTTTGTGTTAGTCTTAATATCAATTAAAAGTACAATATTACATCCTTCATATTTTTTTCAGGTCTGGGGATGGCCTATGCTTGGGCTCTGGGTCTGGTAGGTTCTTGTTTAGTCAGCTTTTTTGTTGGATTTGTGATCCGTCCTTACATACCCCTAAATGTAAGTATAACTTGATGTACATGATATTCTTTGTTAGAACTTAGAACCAGATTACTCATGATTTGTCTAACGGAACTTTGTAGACAGGGAGGCTTCAGCCCTCTTCGTTACAGCGAGACATGGAAGCATTTCCTAATCAGTCTGGGGAGTCAAGTACCGATGTTTTACTTCGACGTCAGAAGCGCAGTTGCTAGCCCAACACTCTTTGCATTTTTAAGGAGGCTCATTATGTTGGGCATATCTACTCTATCCCTCATGTTTAGGCATAACGTAGTAGAATCTCAGACTTTGCAAGATAAATATGTATCTTTATTAGACTCTGATCGCTTTGATAGCTGTGAGTTAACAAGATCTCAGGTAGTGGCTGAACAATTAAAGGGTTTGATAACTTCAGATGGAGGCCTGGATTTATTGGACCCTAGGGACAAAAACTTAAAGAGAGCAGATGAGAACAAAGAGATGAGTGATGGTTTATCCAAGGGACAAGGAAAGATTGATGATATGATACAGAGCAACATTTTGGGTTTTGTAGAGCAGGCTCAAATAGCTTCACTGGTGGAGTCTCGGGAGAGCGGCTCAGGCTTGGTTAAGAGGAGATGAGATTAATGTAAAATGCCTTCAACTAAACTCATCTTTTTCTACTTCTGCAACTGGTTGTAAATGTTTGAACATTGTTATCTCCTCAAACCACATGTTATGGATTGTTTAGTATGTTATTACTCTCGTTTTTCATCTGGATTGTTTACATTGCTGTGTGTATAACTATAAATGTTTCTTGGATTGTTGATCTTACTGGTGGTCTGAGGCAGGAAACTAACTTTGTATACAAGCACAGAATGCATATTGTTTTATATAAATCATTCGGGAATTTGCAATGCCTATGATATGCCATTTGTCTTGTCAACAACAAAGCGATTCCAACTTCAGGTTCCCGAGTTGAAGAGAACAATACGACCTGACCTCAAATACCATCCCCACCTCTACCATATCTATGTAGATATGAACATGATTCCAAGCCATTCAAATCTCTATAATCTGACAATGATCGGATCAAACACCCTTCTTTGGTTTGTCGAGGTGGCATAAGGGATTCGACTGGGCAGTGGGTTGCAAAGGGGAGAGCGTGGGAGTTCGCCAGGGTGGGATTAACAAAACAGAGGAGTTGGGGTGACCACAGGGAGGGTAGGGGATATAGGGGGTGGTAAATTTCATTGTGCATCTACTTCTGTTCATCGAAAAATTTACCTCCAACTGAATCTATATCTCTTTTTCCCTTCGTATGTACGGTACCCCTTTCTTTCGCCACTGGTGGTCTGTTGCACAGAAAGGCATGTTTTTCAAGCACTTAGCTTCTGCTAGCGACAGGGCGGCAAGGCTTTCCTGTTAATTGGAAGCCTAAGTCAAGAAGGAACTCAGGCTAGGGCCATTCTCCATTGACCATGGCCATCACTACCATATCTTTTCCATGTTGTGCCACAGAAGACAGAAAGGAAACCAAAATTTATGTGGAACTTAACAGAACACCAGAGAGAAGAACAGCCCAAAAACTTTACAAATGACTTCTATTTCTTTCCTGAAGACAACTAATGTTTTGGCTAATAAGCAACACATAGAACATCACCAGAGCTGCTCCAGTAAATCATTCCACTCTCCAACATTATATTTTAATACCTGCTATATCCAAGTTTTGAATGCCATCTATCTGAGATGGAACAAATCTAGAAAACCAAAATCTATTATATGTATATGATCAATGGCCATTGGCATACCCCGCGGAGCTGATTCGAGAGCGAATATTAGGACAATCATAAACGGGATTCCCATGGTCCAGAGGCTTTATTTTTACAGCTTCGCGCTGCTCATCTTGCTCCTGAATTGCTCCAAACACAATCTCATTAGTTTTCTCAGAGCTTTGCTGGTAGTAAGTTTGTGGTGTGGATGAATAATAACGATGCTGATGCTGATGCTGATGCTTCTGTGTTTGTCGCTGATGCTGATGCTTCTGTGTTTGTTGCTGCTGCGGTTGCTGAGAGTCTCCATCCAATCCACTGTAGAAAGATCTGCTCTGCCGGAGCTGTTGCATTTTTTCAGCATCCTTGGACATGAATGCATATGTTTTACGCGGAGTAGGGGTCCTGGTTTCAATAGCAGGAGGCTCGTCTTCATCTGGTATTACAAAGCTCTCTTGCACTGGCCAAGTATTTGAATAACGCTGCTGTGGCTGGTATTGCTGTTGATTGTGATATTGATACTTCAGTGGCTTCCTTCTAAACCCTGGAAATATTCCTCCAGAGATTTCCGCAACAGATGCTCCAGCATTGATGAGCAGCCTTCCAACAGATCCAAAGAAGCTTTCTTCTTGCTTTTCCTGTTCATCTTCAGTTGGAATCAGTGGCGGCCTGACCATTGGAGGCTTTTGATATGGACTCGGGGACATGCTTGTTTTCATTGTGTTCTGATCCTTCAATAGCAGACAGTGAAAAAATAAATGAATTATATGGCTTTGATAACATCTAATTTTGTTGGCATTTGGGTAAAAGCATATACAGACTTACCCCAAACATATAAACTTGTCAAAAGCAAAAATATAAGTTTTTCGGAAAAGATTTTTTTTTTCAAATGTGAACACAGGAATAGGAAAATTCTGGAACTTCTTTAAATATGCTTTGCTATTTCCAGACGCGAGAAATGTAGATGACAACGGAAACCTTTTTAATGAAGGACAATAAGTTCCTCAATATCATCACACTCAGAATCTTAAGACAGTAGAAAACATTAAACTCACATTATCAGAAGACACCATGGTACCAACCCTGCGTTGCAGCAATGCCAGCATATAGCCAAAGAAGCCAGCTGCTACGAGCACTGCAATTCCTGCAGTGAGGTTCACATGTCTCATAAATCTATAAATTCCAAAATATCACCCAACAAATCTGTAAATTGGACAGATTAGCTTACCCAGAGGGAAACCACTTCCATATTGATAAGCACAGTCATCAAAATGGAGTTGGATCTCCCGGATTGCTTGGTTTCCCCTGTCTATGACAAGAAGGGAGCAACTGCTTCCAATATAAACCACATCAAAATCATTTGAAAATTTTGCATCTTCACTTGGCCCGTCTACATGCCCCCCTCCACGACCCCATTTACCTCCTGCAATTGTTGTTACCCCTGCAAGAAGGAAATAAATGACTTCAACACTTGCAAATTTTTCTTCTTTTTGGATAATCAACAAATACTTTTCAATCTATTCATAGAGGTTTTTCAAAAATAAATTCCAATTAGACTAGAGAAATCCTACATACAAGATTGGGTAAAAAATGGTAAGGTGCTCACACAGGTGTGCTACTATTATCACACATATGTGACATCAATATCCAAGGTTGTACCTGACTCAGTAAGAAAATTAACCTCACGTGATGACCAGAATAATAAAATTTGCCTGTATATTATATGCGAAAAATATAATTTTCCCTGAATATCCACTGCCATAAATAGAAATGCTTCAACAAAACACCAATCAGGGTTACCTGCATCGCTTATCTTCCTGATTGCCATATTCAGGGTGTCTGCAATGTAAATGTTTCCTTTGTCATCCACGGTGAGCCCTTTTGGATGGCTCATCCTGGCCTCCCTGGCCTTCCCATCGACATGTCCGGAGTATCCTTCGGCAGATCCAGCAACCAGCCTCGGTCTACTATCTGCAATTTTCCCACACAAGCAAAATTTAAGAAAAAAGTCACACAAAGAGAAAGAGGAAGAACTGCATGAAAAGAATTTTGAGCTGATTTCATAATCCAAATTGACGATGGAGGAAGGTTTGATAGGAGTTCATCAGGGCTTGGGCAAAAGACAGCTCAAGCTTCAACATAAAATTCAGTTGGAGGTAAAGGGAATTACCCAACCTCTTAGATGACCTTTTTTATAATAATTATGTGCAGAAGTAAAACATATGATGAAGAAATGTTATGCCATTACAACCTCCATCACATAGAATTAAGTAATGTTATGCCATTACAACCTCTATCACATAGAATTAAGTACATTATAAATACATAGAGCTACGCCATTACAACAACAAATATGGAGCTGAAGCCCTGAACTTCATGAAAAAACCAAACCTTGAGGCACTTGGCTTCGTTAAAAAATGAAGATTTTCAGAAACTACTAAAAAAGATTGAATGGAGAATGGCAAAGAAAACCAACCCAAAAGCTCAATATACTTTTTATAGTGGAGGAATATACTGTATTTGCTCATCATAAACAGTTACCCAAACATCCAGTCAATATAATCTTAAGTTATACCTAAATAAGACAAGAGGTCACAGCAATAAGAGGCCAAAATATGTAATACCCCCATGACAACAACCCAATTGACAAATCAAACCCATTAAATTTCTGACAAGTTGCAACTGCCCATCACATTCAAGGGATAAAATACAAAAAACAAAACTGAGGCAACTACTTAACGAAAGCAAAAACAAAAAGTTCTACAAAGCACAACCGATTAAGTAAAAATTCAAAGCCACTTACATTGAGACAGAGGGGTAGAGATCCTGTAAAGATTATTGTTAGCAGAGTCCAACACCAGAAGCTCCCCCCTGGGCATTACCTCAACAGAGTGGGGCTCAATCCCAAGCTTACTTCCGTCAAACACAGTCTCAACAGTGTACCCGCTCTCAAACTTCATCATCGGACGGCCAGAAATTGCTGTAGACGGAAAATTCCATAAACCCCACCTTATTACAACACAATCTCCATAACGATTGGACCCATTTCATAAAACATCGAGAGTCCCAAACACAAACACAAACACACACACACACACGATCACAACCCTTCAATGTCGATTGTATCTGGGTATTGGAGATCCATACCTGTTTTTGTGGTAGCTTTGAGTGACCACAGCCATTTCATAATAACAGAGAGAATATTTGAGAGAAACCCACTAACAATCTCTGCACAAAAATGGTAAATACAAACACATCGAATGATGCCCAATAAACACCGAATGCCGAAAAGTAGAAACAGATCAAATGATGGAAACTACGAGAACTATATATACACATGTGAATCCATGTATACACTCACTTGCAGGTGAAGAAGTATATGAAGCTGAAGAGACACCACCAAACAAAACCAGAAGAGTGAGAGCCAACACCAGCACATTCCTACCCATGACAGTCATTTTCTCGGGAAAATCAAAAGGACAAAGAATAGAAGTGTGGATTCAAGCCCAGCATTACATGAAACCCTCAAATTCAGGTGGGTTTTCGCATCCAGGGGAGGAAGTGAAGAGTGGTTTTAATTCATGGGTTTTTGGGTTAACAGAGTGAGGAGAGTGAATGGGAAAAAGGTGATAGAGACAAGAAAAGGAGAGAGAAAAAAGGCGGGGCAAATGCAAGAGGGGGCCAGTGGATGCCAGTAACAGGAGTAAGAATCGTATGGTGTTATTATATGAGTTGCTAAATCTAATACAAAGATTACAAATCATGTTTTCACAACAAATGCCACTCTCACCTTCCTAATAATTGTTTTTTGGCACTCATATTTTAGGCCCACTTCATTAATCAACAATATTATTTATAATAAATAATGTATATAACAAGAATATTACGTCTATATTATCACGTCACGTAATGTAATTATTTAATGATAAACATATAAATAGGTAAAATACACTCCATTACTTAGGAAAAAATATTCATTGTAACGGTAATATCATATTAACATTGTCACGTAATATTATCAACTAATATTGTGTAAATAAATAGAAAAACGGATCTCATACAAGTCAATAATTACTTGTTGATATAACTAATAACTATCCGAGTGGAGTTTATTTTATCCATTTTAAATTTTATTATTAGTTAGTAAATCACCATTGTATTGAATATTTTCTCCACTACTTAGAATAATAATTGCCACATATTTAAAAACTATGATTCATTTGCCTGTTTGTTTGTTTATCATTTGGCGACGTGACAAATATTGACACAGTGGTATTGTTACACTAAATATGTATTCTATTTTTTTATTCTCAATCTATGTTTTTTTTTTTTTTTTTGGTTTGTTGTCTCTCAAGAAACAAAGATATATCAAACTACACAAAAACAACAACAAAAGAGCCAAAAAATAAGGACAAAACAATATTTGAACCAATACCTTCTCTTGCTTCCTTTTGTACGAGCCTTCTTATTTACTCCGAAGGGTTAACGAAGAGATAAGTTGCTCTTTCTAGCCTGAGTTGCAACCAGATAAGCTAACTGACTAGCTTGTCGGTTCACAAATTAAAATCTAATTGAATGAATTTTACTATAATAAAACCAAATATCCCTTTAAATAGGTTTAACCTCTCTTAACAGAGAAACTGAGCCTCGTTGGATAACTTCAATCAGCACCTTAGAGTCAGATTCAACAAAAACTTCATGAAAATTCTTTGCAATTGTCATGGCGCAACACATCGACAAACCTCTCTCAATCTATGTTACTAACCTAATTTAACGCATCCTTTTGATTAGTAGCGGTCCTAATTAATATAGAGAATTATTTTCAATTCGGTAACAACAAATGACTAAAAGTTAGTAAATTACGTTTAAATATAATTACTCGTAATTAATAGAACGGAGAAGGAAGAAGTCACAAATGAAATCCAATTTGACAAGTGAGATTTTCAGAATATAGTTTTAGATACAATTAGTAATAAATTTTATTTGAAGTGTTATTTATGATAATTTTAGTAAAGTCATGAAAAAATCCATCGGATTACAAACATTTGAGACAAATTATGACCCATTAAAATAAAGTTACAACAAAGTGAAATTATTACAATTCGATGAGATTTACAAAATTTGATACCGATATATACAAAAGCTTGAATTGGTCTATTTGATTCGTTTAGTTGTGATTTACTTGTTGAATTATAATTGATCAAATTAAATCGTAACTTTTGATCTTGTACTACAAAATACTTTTCGATGTCAAGAGAAACTTATTATTATGATTTATATATGTGAAACTTTTGAGGTTGTTATCATTTAACTGAATTCAAATTTAGATATATTAATATATGATTAAATACAATTCCAAAAAAATTATGTATATAAATATATACCTATAATATGAAATTACATAAACATTCCGTGAAATTGAGTTAAAGTTTATATTTATTTTAATAAATTTATTTATAATTCAATTGTAAAGACGGAATTACTTTTTATTTTTTATTTTTTAATGGGTTGGGATAAAAATTATGAACATGAGTTCCATTGGATAAACAAATAAAGTTTGGATTCAAACCGGGTCAAATAATGTGATTCGTTGACATCCCATCATGAATTGTGTTTTTGCCATTATTTTGTAGTTATCCATGATTTGAAAAGCATTAATATAGTTCCATTAAAGAAGCCTCAAGAAGATGTACCCGCAGCCATTGCTCAGATGTGAAATCACATGTAAGTTTTTATGGAGAAAATGCTCTGTCAAATTAATTTTGGAACATAATCAATTATAACTGTTGAAATTAAAAGTGAACTGTATTTAATATCATAACTCATCTAATGTGTATGAAAAGGTTGTTTCTCTACTCCAAATCATGACACCGAAATCTCATCGGTGTCGACGGGAAGGTGTGGTTGCGGCCGGATTTTTTTTTTTTTTTTTCTTTTATGTCATATGTTTTGAAAGCATAATGGTATAAATGTCTCTCAATATCTTGTGATAAACAATATTTTTCATCACTCATTTAAAGGGCGTGTAATGCCAAACTTTGGAAATATAAATGACAAATTTAAGATTTTAAGGACCATAATGTGATAATCAATAAATTTCAACAATTTACCTTTTTTATTATTTTTTTTTATAGCAACAAATTTTTAAACTTTAAGAAAAAAAAATGATAGTTAAGAATATAACTTTTAAGAGCAACTTCAAAAGATTAGTTAAAACTCTATTTTTAATTATTTTAGATAGCTTCTTCTTGAAATGTGGCTCCAACAGATTATGTATTCCCCTTATCTATTTTTTTTAACTAGTTACATATAACTAGTCACTTCTCACTAGCTACATCCAACAAACTCTCCAAAAAAATCTAGTAAACTCTCCCAAAAATCTATCAATACTCTAAAAAATTCAATAAAACTTCCCAAAAATTCAGTAAACTTCTCTAAAAAATTTGACTTCGGTTATTTGTGTAATTTGACATGATTTTGTTTTGAAATTTGTGATTTAATTTAAAAGAATTTAGTTTGTGAGTAGTAATTTTTGAGATGTGGGTTTTCTCTTGTAGCCAATAATTAATTAAATTTGTATAATATATAGTTGAATTATTATTTTTTAAATTTTATTATTAAAAATTAATTAAAATAATTAGTTAAAATAGATAGCATTGTCAGTGCAAATTTAAAAAAACTGTTTAGTTAAAATAGATAAAATAATATTTAAATATATTTTAAATAACTATTTTAGATAACATTGGAGATGCCGTAACATGTCGTTCATCGAGGAAGAATTTAAACCATCGGAGAGAATTGAGGTGCTTCAACAATTTACCATTTACTTTGTGACCCCGTGCGACATAAAGCACAAGCCGCGAAGCGTTTTGTATTCTCAACTCGTTGTTAGGGTTTCCGTTGGAGTCTGGGAGTCGATCAGATCACAATCCCTAGAGATTTCTCTTAGTTAAAGCTGTCAATGTCGCGAGTGTTTGTTGGGAATTTGGATCCGCGAATGACGGAGAGAGAACTCGAAGATGAATTTCGGATCTACGGAGTTCTGCGAAGGTAAATTTCTTGTTTTGTTGGTCCATTGGTGTAAATTCGGTGTTGTGTTGACCAATCGGGGTTGAATTTCTTGTGTTTTTGGTTCATGGTGGGTAAATTTTGTTGCCGTTTTTTAATTTAGGTTGGCTAACAAATGTGTGCGTGTGCGTGTGCGTGTGTGTTGTGCGTTTTGGGTATGGTTGGGGAAGGAGGGATTTATGAGTATTGGTCATCTCTCATTTGCCAACGATTGATCCAGTGTATGGGTTGCCCGAAGACCACCCGGTTATGCTTTTGTTGAGTTTGACGATCGCAGGGATGCTCTGGATGCAATTCAGGCATTGGATGGTAAGTGCTATGTCTAGTGAAAGACTTGTCTGTTTAATTTGATTATCTTTCTTCGCATATTGCCTCTTCTTGGTGTTTTACTTGAGAACTTCATCTATATATCAAATTTGTATGATTAAAGCTTCTATTGGATCAATCTTTGAAAGCCATAAGGCATGAATACTTCGACACAGAGTTGTATGTATATTGTAAGGCATTGAAATACCTTGCATAGATGTGTAAAATTATTTTTAAACTTACCCATTTTGATTAATTTGTTATATGTTCTGAGCAGACATCCAATGTTCCATTACTTTTGGCATGTGTTGGTCACATGATGGTTGAGGCCTGCAGTTAAGACAGTTGTGGTTGTCTTGTGTCCACTGTTAGCAATGTTAGTTCAAATACTTTTTTGAATATGTTGGCTGCCACATTATTATGTATGGTCAGGGAATGTGTTTGATGTGATGTAGCTGTTTCTCCAAAATGTTCTACCTTGTGCGATCAATTGCGTCATGGATCCTTGTGTTGCTGCCCCTCATCTCAATTTTGGTATCTTTGTAACCATCTGCAATGTGACTATAGGCAACGATATAAGCTATTATCTGCATCAGGAGGCATTGTGAGAGTAAACATTGCAGTCTTCCATGGGTACCTGGACTTTTTCAGATTACCCTCTTCGTTCTTTGAAGAATATTACATGGCTGCTTCTCTCTGTTAATTATCTTCACTGTCTATTGATGTCTTGTGCAAAGATTCTCATGCCCTGCTAGAGTCACTATAATTTTTTATGTCGTTAGCATTTTGTTCATTTTATTTTTTAGGTTGCATCTAAAGCTCTGGTTGACACCAATATTACGTTTCATGATTGATGATGGGCAACTAATCTTTCTTATTTCCGTATAACTTTGCAAACATTTGAGATTTTCATCTTCATACAATTTGATATAACAGGGAAGAATGGATGGCGTGTGGAGCTCTCGCACAATTCTAAGGGAGGTGGTGGAAGCCGTGGTGGTGGGCGTGGACGTGGTGGAGGTGAGGACTCGAAGTGTTATGAATGTGGTGAACCTGGTCATTTTGCTCGAGAGTGTCGTTTGCGCATAGGTCCACGCGGCTTAGGAAGTGGACGCCGTCGAAGCCCCAGTCCTCGACATCATCGCAGTCCAAGTTATGGGCGTAGGTGCGTTTGATGGGTCTGACGTCTATACATTTCCCATTCCTCCCAGTGCATGTGAATGATTCTCCACATACAAATACTGAAACCTTACAGCCTCATCTAATTTGCCTTTTTGAAGCCATAGAAACCTTTCTTTCTTTTTTAACACAATCTGAGAGCTTTAAATTGCTAATTTTGATTTGGCTGGAACCACTTGGCATATGATTCATAATTTTGTGAGTTGACATCCATGTTTAAGATATATGCCAATCTTGTTTGGTATTATTTTTTGAAAACTGCCATTGTTTAGTTTCAAACAGAAGGGTAAGACATATGATGCCGTGGTATGCTTGCTTTCCTCTTCCATTTTTTCCATTGCCAAGAAGCATAGTTTTCGTATACATTGTTTGTTGAAATTTTATTCTTTAAGGGATATGCATGACTCAATTGAAGGGTCATCATCAGATGACGTATTCTGTAATATGTTGCTCTGAGTCGACACATTTTAGAGTTTTTTCTTTTATTTTTTCCAAATGCCTTTTGAACTTACTCTCTCGTGAAGTTATTTAAGATGCATTGGACTGACCTTTAGCTTTAGACAACGCAAAGTGAGTTTTAGACGACGTTAGAAAGAGAATGAGCAAATAAATTGAGTTTTTATTAGGGTGGGGATTCCTCTGCAAACAAAACAACGTTGTTTCGCCAAAATTTTAGGTTTTAAAAAAAAAGTGATTGAATTGTGCGATTCGTGAGTGAATCGTGCGATTCGTGTGATACGAATCGAATCGTACAAATCGTACGATTCTTGTGCGATTTAACTCTAAAACGATTCTCATATAAGATACGAATCATTTTTTAACTATATCAAACCGAATCATATGAATCAAATTGCGAATTGTACGATTTTGATAATTATGGTTATGAGAACATTTATGTTGAGCTTACTAGGAAAGAAACATTAAAAATTTACCACTTCGCTTTCTAATTTTAAGCTCATAAAAGTTGCATTTTGTTCTAGGAGTTACAGCCCTCGTGGGAGAAGATCCCCACGCCGTGGTCGTAGCTACAGCAGGTCTCCTCCATATCGCCGTGCTCGTCGTGATTCACCTTATGCCAATGGGTATGCATATCATCATTCTCCTAATGCTAATAGATATGTAATGGTTCCACGCATATAAATTTCTTGTAGTTCCTTTAATTAGTCACTGTTCTAGTGTATTGTATGTCATGCCTAAGCCCCACCTTGTGATGTGATACTGCATAATGGCTATCAATAGGGGGAATCTGAACTTTCTTTTTGGCAATGGCAAAAATGAACTCTAAATTAGTCATAAATCAGTAACTTCCAGGATTAACTATGGGCAAACTTTATTTTGTTATCTTATGGTCAATGGGCCAGAGGCATATGTCTGCCTTCTCTTTTCCCACTACACATCCGACAACCTGCCAAATCACCCCTCCTCTGCACTGAAAAAAAAAAAAAAAAAAAGAAAAAGAAAAAGAACATATACATAATACATGCATTTACAGGTACTGCCTTGGACCCCCACTGGATTTTGGCAATGGCAAAAGTAAAACTTCAAGGTGGTCATAAATTGATAATCGCAGGATTAACAAAGGGACAACTTTATTTCGTTTTCTAATGGTCAATGGGATAGAGGCACTTGTCTGCCTAATCCCACCTGCAAGAACCCACAGGAATGCATCAAACAAATGACACAGAACACGTGCATGCACTTACTTGAGAAAAGGGCTAGATTGTGTAGATAATGAGGCTTTTGGGGTCAGTGGATTTTTATTCTACAGTACAGGTTATTACTTAGTTTGGTACGCGTTATTTGGGCTAGTGCCCTTAGATTTGAGCGTCTAATCTCATGATTGTTAGCTCAAGTATTTTACCATGGGATCCTTCTTCTATGGGCTTACTTTTAAATTGGCTACCTATATTGAATGGCTTCCCCTGTTAACGGCCTTGGATTGATATTGATGTCATCTACTGTGATGTCGAGGCAGGTGATCTCTCTCTCTCTCTCATGCGCACATGGTCACATCGTTAGGTGCATTCAATCTTATATGACTAACTGTGGTTGCAGAGCCTGAAGGCTGGATGCAGAAATGGTTGAAAAATGGGGAACAACAGCAAAGGCCAAGATCTCTGCAATGCCTTGGTTCTTCTAGTCATGGTGAACAAACAAATTTAGGTTTATTTTAATTAAGTTATGGGTGTGTAATGAACCCGGCTTTGGTTGACTGAACTGTATAGCCACGGGAAAAGGGTGCTTTGGTCTCCTTTTTTGCGCCAGCTTGCACTATTCAGCAAACTGAAACTTGGAGGTCACTTTATACTTTAAATTGCTACTACTGCTATTGATATGTTTTTGTCTTAATTGTCGTATTATTACTGTTTGAAGAATTTGTTTCTAAAATTGTTATATATGTTCTGTTTTTGTGGTGTGATCAGCTGAAATGGCATCGTTTCGCCGCTTACTGCATCTTAGTCTTCTCGGTTTACCACCTTTTCTGCATTCCTCTAGCACATCATCTACTCGTTGCTTCTTGTGCTTCTTAATGCGTGAAAAAATGATTCTGCAACTGGTCAGAAACCTGATTGTCTGCCGCACTTTTAAATGCTATCTTCCGCAACAAAGCTTCCGATGTTGTATCGTAAGGTCATTACTTTTCTGCCTGCTGGTGGAAGGAGATTGAAGCTTTTTGTTATCCTTTGTGTTATTGTGTTTCAAGCTGCGGTATAGAATCATACCACTTGTGTTTTGCTGCATTTGATTGAGGTTGCCGGCTATTAAACTGCACCTCTGCTTTAAAACCAGGGGAATGTATTGCCCCCAAATTTGAGACTAGAGCTTCAGCGACCACCTGCAATGAACTTCACTTACGCATGTCATATGCCGTGGCCCAAGTGATTGTAGATTGTAGGATAATACAACCAAGTTCTGAACCGTTATTGCAATGCTTTCCCGTCACCTGCATGCTTACTGTTCTGCTGCTGTTTTATGTGACCCATTTCCTTTCAAATGGGTTGTTTTGGCTTGTGTTGAGGTACCCCATGGTAACATGCCATAATGCTCAGTTGGACTCGTAGGAATCATTGGTATACTGTTGGATTTGGTTGCATCTTTTCTCCATCTTTTCTTCCCGGGCGAGCTGTTTCTTATTTTTTGTTATGTTGACCTATGGTAATCCATCAGCAACATGCCAGACTTATTGATGGCCAAATCAACGATCCGTAAACAATTGTATTTGGAGCATCAGTCCTATGGGGTACATTTTAATGGTTACTAATGTGTTGGTAATTTGACTTGTCAAACGGGAATGTGTATGACCGAAGGGTTTTTTTTGTCCCAATAAGTATGGATGACTGAAATTTCTTTATACTTATTGTCCATACCCAAGTTCGTTGTGTTTGTCAACATGATTGTTCAAAATTATTTGTTGTTACGAATTAGTTTGTTCTGCATCAAAAAATATGATCAACAGAAGCTGCAGCTGTTGATGGATTGCGTAACAATACTCTCATTTATAGCGGGTATTAGTGGACTGTTATGTTATATGGCAGTATTGACATGGTATGTCAAGTAAGTTTGATAACTATTGACATAACAGAGAGAAACATGCACCTTTTGATTATTACTTTCATGTTCCCTACTTTTATGGTTCGGGTGTAATTTTCACATACCACATTACCATTGGGTCATTTGTTGGTTAGGTTTTCGGAAAATTTAGAGACTCCTAGGGAAACAAGGCCTGAGCCATACCTGTTCGTCCAAAAGGTATTCGACAAATGTGTCATGTATAAAACTGCTGTGTGCAACAAAGTAACTCTCTACGTTGCCCTGAATACTGTTAACTCGTGTGAGTATCAATCGTAAGAGTCTCTTGTCTCTGAACTAATCAATAATCATACAACTCTTATCGTGCAACAGAATTCTTAAAAAATGAGCAACAGAAAAACCGCAACTTATTCTATGATCCACTCCTACATGGACCATTTCAACAAGGACGAAAGATGGAAACTCTATTACAGCCGAATTCTTCTCCTTAAATGCTCCAAAGACCTCTCATTTACCTTTGGAATCAATCACCTTCTTTGCAAACGATGGCAAACAGAAAGCAGCAGCATGGATCTGGGTACAAAGAGAAGCGGACAATAAAATCGAAAGGTAAAAAGAAGAAACTCATACGAATAGTAGAAAGCAAGTGGAAACACAGAGTAGAAGGAGAAGAATTGTACCTCCGAGTTGTAGAATTTCAATGGTCCTTTTGACTTGCAATGGGTATCATCGGCGTCTATTGGATTCATCGGATGCTTGAAATCCACAAGGGGACCCCCAGTTGAGCAAAGCATGAAACCAATTACCCCACTGAAATGAAAGTGAATACAAAAAACTTACATACCGTAAAACAACACAACGAAAACAGAGAAATAACGAGCAAGAGAGAGAGAGAGATCAAAGTGCATGCCTTGGATATGTAGGGACTGTAGTCCATGCATAGTTGACAGAGCCTTTGAATATCTGGCGACAGTTTGCGACAATATCTTCAATGATGTGCATGTGAAGCCATATGCTTTCAGCCTGGGTACACATAACCCCACCAGGGCGAAGTGCCTTTGCTACCGACTCAAAGAAAGGCTTCTCGAAAAGCTCTTGCGCTGGACCTGAGTGTCACAAAACACAGTGCCTGAGAAATGAATAGATGAAAGTTTCCAATGGACATATACTAAAGAAGCAAATAGTTGCAAACATATTTGAACCTATTGGATCAGAAGAATCCACTATAACTGCATCATAAGTTCCTTCGGGCACAGCCTTCAAAAATGCAACTCCTGCAAGTTGAGCGAATTTAAGAGAACAAAAATGAAAGGGGAAAATGAGGACGGTGAAGAATAAGAAGAGAAATGATGACAATACCATCACCAATGTGGAGCATTACACGGGGATCCTCATATCCAACAGCTACGTCAGGGAAAAATTGTTTAGACACCTGATAGAGCCAGAGGAGAAACAAATTCATTAGTTGTGTGGCCATGATTCCCAAACTGTTCAAACTCAATGGTCGAAAGCTCCAAAGACAAATCACATGAATCAGTGTGAAGAAGTTAAGCTACCAAGAGGACATGCTACAAGCTACAACCAGGAGTTTTTACACGGAAATGATATCCAGTGTTAAACTGGAATGAAAAAAACTAGCATTTGCTTAAACACCTAAAGCATAAAGAAAGCTAGAGGAGTCATTATTACTCACATCAACTACCATGTTATCAATCTCACAGATGTCTATCTGCTCAACAGAAGAATGGCGGGACACCTCACGTAGAACACCACCGTCTCCTCCCCCAATAACCAAAACCTGAAGGCAGAAAATGCGGTTTAAGAGGTAAATTTAGGAGCACTTCATAAATGTATATGTGTACGTGAGGATACGTGCCATATTGACTCCTATGAAATTAGGATAGCCAGAAAAATTTACTTTATAATTTTAAGTAAACTTAGGCCTAAACAAGTCCAGTTTTGGCCAACATGTTTCTCCTGCTTTATGTTTTTTCTTCTCTTTTTTCTCCTTATACAAACGCATGTATATTAATCCAGCACCAGCTGAGAGGCTACAGAATTGTCATGCCACCCCTCTATTTCTGTGCAATATTATCCCACTATTTTTCTATACTCGTGCACATTTAAACATATAAATGAAAGAGATTAGTAAAGCAAAATAAGACCATGAAATAGATGATTCTGTCAGGTTCACCATGGCGAAACCAAGAGAATCATATGTCATCAACTAGTAATTACTGAACTACATTATTGTTTCACTCTATAGATGCACCAAATGTTAACTAGTCCATTTTGTTATCAATTACCCCCCAAAATCTCCTCCTAGTTCACCATTCAACTACCCACATGCTTAGTTTTTGAATTAAGCACGGCGCTATTATCACAATAAACTAGCATGAAGTATTTGTCACTAAGAATTGCACAGAGTTCTACACTCCTATATCTATTCAGTGGGTGTAAAGACCTTCTTCGGGTTTGGAATGGAGCAGAGTGGGAGATGAGTAATCATTTCCTGATAAGAGCATTCATCCCTCTCCGTAAGTTGAATTACCCCATCCAAAACAAGAACTTTCCCATATGTCGAAGACTGCATCAAAAAACAACCACCAAAGCATATTAAGCAACATTACAAATTAACATGGGTGAATAAAAATCAGACTTCGTAATGCCCGGAATATTACATACCTGAAAGACCAGGACCTTTTGGTAGTCAGAATTTCCCTGGAATAAGATCTTTTCAACCTTTAATGAATGTGCTTCTCCTGCAGAATTCCATGAAGTCAGCAACAAATAAATGGCTTTCATATACAATCATATCACAAAGAAGAAAAACTTGGTTTGTAAAGCACCAAATCAAAGTAAAAAAGAAGGAAATTGAATCAAATATCACAAGAAACTAATTAATGATTAACTCAATCACTACCACAAGCAACACATAAGAAATACTTAGTTTAGAACTTGTGGGGGGGGGGGGGGGTCCTAAACTAGGCTGTAAAAAATGGCAATAAGCCTGAAGAGTGTAAAACCAAAGTACACTACTACAGTGCATGGACAAATCAGAACTTGTGAGTTGTGACTTGCATTCCAGATGTGTGATGAGTATGGGTTTGAAATTTCCCAACACAACTACTGCAGGACATTGACCATAGAGGAGAGCTAAATAGTAAAAAATTGAACAGAATTATATAGTAAAAGTTTTGAACTTCGGATTCATCTTGTCCCCCACATTCAATCAGCAGCAACAGAGCTATAATTTGTAGAACTGGGGTTCAAACATTTAAAATAACTACTTAAAAAAGAGTCTTCAAATCCCTAAACACAGCATAACATGACAGAAGAATCAAGACACCTAGTAAAATCTCTACATACATAAACAAACCCATCATTCCAAGTTGAATTAGAAACAAAATAATGCACATAAATCATCCTCTTTTCACAAAAAAATTAATAATAAAAATGGCAGATTGTAGTGAAAACTAATCTAGGTATATTGAATTGCAATCGGAAAATCATCAAAAACAAACAAAACCCACAACAATTTTGTACATATAGATATAAGCTGATATGTTCACGAGGAGGGGACACCCACCAGGCCACATTGGGCTAATCTCAGAGAACCACCCAGGTATAATAGAGGATATATTGTTGTTACAACCCTCCATCTCCACAGAAACAGATGAAACAGAAACCCCGTTGTTCTCTTCCTCCTCTCTTGCTTTCTTCACCTGCAAATCACTACCCACTAACGCCACACCACTCTCCTCCGCCATCAATGATAGACCCAGAAGCTAAAGAGTGTGTTTTAGGAGTAATGAAGAATGTCCACAAAAATCTCTCTCTTGATATACTAATTTATAGATAAATACAGGGGGATAGAATAGAGAAAAGGTTAGCATCAATGGGGTAAAACACACAATAATTGTCAGCGTACACACACAAACACACACGAAGAGAATCTGCTGAGGAAAGACGCGTTTGTATGCAGGAGTCCACCCATATAGGGTTCGACTCCCTTTTTTGATAACTTATCACAGTTGTATATGAACTGTAATTATATAATTAGCGTGTAAACGAGTCCCGTAATATATATTTTTTAATTTAATTTATTTATATTTAATTTATTTATTAACCATATTGTGTTAAATTCATTAATTTATTAAACATATACCTTAAAAAAGATTCAAATTCTTTAATTTTATTATATTGTGTTAACGATTCGTATCATATTTAAGAGTTGAATTTATTATTTTTTAAGGTAAAATTTTTTATTTTTTATATTATTAAAAAATAAAATTTTAATAATTTAATATTTACACACCCAAAAATATCTGAAAAAGGAATATGACAATTATTGTTTATAACATGGTCGGTGACTCGTGGGACGCAAGTACAATATAAAACTGATAGGGCTTTCGAATCTCAATTATGGGTTGGGCCCACTTATAGTAACGAAACTTATTAATTTGGAAAGTGAATTATTTTTTATTATCAATTATTGTAAATAAATTAAATTAAAATTTATCTTCATAATTTTTTTAAATTAAAATAAAAAGTTTATTTCAATGTCTTTTCATGTGATTGGGCTTCTCTCAAATCTGTCAAATCACTTTTGAATGTCTACGCCTGCTAGGTTTTGGTGCTTTGGTCTTACTGGGCACATTTGAGTTGGCCCCTTTTTTTGACTTTTTATTCTTTGATTTTTTGTTTTTTTTTTTTTGAGAAGGGGTTCTTCAATCATTCAAAGGGTGACTAATTTAGCCAACGGCTGCCGACCGAAGACCACAATCAGTTATAAATTTAGATATTTTAAATTTTAATTTTAATAAATTATTCTAAGACTCGGCGAAATTGAGTGATGATAAAAATAAAATATAAATTTAAATATTTTGAATTTAAAACTTGAAAAAAATTTATTCCTCATGAATTCTGTATATTTGGAGTAACTTTAACGGGATCAATGAAAAAATTAATTGAAATGAACATAAATTAATTCAAAAATCTAGGGAATAATAACAAAAAAATAAAAAATAAAAAACAAAAGGTGGGTAATTTGTGGGACAGAGGTACAACTTGACAACCAGCAAATAAAAAAAGAAAAAGAAACAGAAAGAGGTACAAATACATGATTAGCTGTTGATAAATCATTAATTTTGCCTTTCAATGTTCGAAAGGGCTTTCCTAACGCCAAACGCCAAACGCCAAACGAACAATATGTATTCAATTTGCCTTTTTTTTTTTTGTTTATAATTGAGATTCGTTTAGATTGTAGAATTAAGTTAATCTGATTAATGTTCTATTCTTTGTTTTATAATTTGAGCATAATTTAAGCAATATATGGTTCAACTCGTGTGACTCGACTATTATAAATTTTGTTTGTGTATAAATATGACCAAATAACCCATATCAAAAGACAAACAACCTCAATTTATCCCTAAATAATTTTAGATTATAATGGGGTTGAATGTTTGTAAATTTTTGTGGAGTCGAGTTTGAGTAAGAATCTAAGTTCGATGATTATAAAATATAAGGGTTTAATTTTCAAAGAATTATGTTAAGATTGAACTTAGTTTTTGGTCATATTTCAATTCGAACGATTGCAAATTTATGTCGAATTGAGACTCAACAAAAAATTAAGCTCAGATCTCAAACTAATCTAGACAATTTAGTTGGAATGCTTGCAAATTTATGTGGAGCTGAGTTTGAACAAAAATTTAAGTTTGAAACTCGACCTAATCTCGACAAACTCCTCTCGTTAAATAAGATGGTAGAAAAGCGAGAACAACCATTAATTGATTGACTAATATATTCATGACAAGTTGAAAACTAACTAATAAAGGTTTCGTAAAATCTTCTAAGATAACAATGGTGAACAGATTGAGATTGGTCAAATGTATTTTCCGAAATAACATAATTTTTTTATTAAAAGCTACCTAAAAATACGCCGTTGACTTGAGTTCAACCAAAGGTGTAAGCAAAACTCCCTAATACAAGTTAATTGAACAAACATTCAATGAATGAAATCAAATTCCCAACCAATGAAATATATGTGATAGGACAGAGAAAAAGGGCAGAGAAGGCTAAAGGTTAGAACAAAGTAGTACCCCCTCCCACCCTTTTGTTCTATTCTTTGCTGCAAAAATTTGTGGACTAGGGAGAGAGAAAAGCTCCAAGGGTCCTAGATTCTAGTTGTTGGAGAGTCAAAAAGGATGAAAACATTTGGCATCCAATCATAAGAAGTAGTTCTTTTTCGACGCGACTTGAAGAATCAGATGCCTTGCAGATTTTTGTTTTCCTAAAAGAATATTTTTTTTTTCCAAAAAAACAAACACTCACTGTTCTAATTTTTCTTAACATGGGACATAATCGTTAATAAGTCTGTGTTGATTCTTGGGCCGAGTTTTTTGTTCTTTGATCAATTGAGCCGAACCATATCACCCTGTTAAAAAAAATGCAATTTATGATTAATAAATAAATAAGATATGAATGAAGCTAATTAATAGATAATATGACACGACTCGTTTATATATATTGATTATACATGATTCATATATAACATCATTCGTTTAATTTAGATTAAATCTACCTTCATGGGCTAAATAGGAAATCAACAAGAGAATGAAATGTTTTTTGACCTAAGCTTTTTACAATTCAACACCAACTGTCTCAAGCGACACGATTGAGAAATGGGCTGGACTGGGTTTAGACGTGTAAAGATAATCAAAAGATGGGCTTAATAAAAAGGGCTGAGTTTTCTGATTAAAAGGCCCTTAAAAACAAAGATGGGCTTTTTTTTCCCTTGTAACTAAGCCCCTACCCGTGTTCTCATAGCTGCAACAACTGTCCTTTTCCTTTACATTCTCGGATGTAGAAACTCCCTCTCCTACTATATTTTGTGTGCATGAGAGACCTTTTCCTTTACGTTCTCGGATATAGAAACTCTCTCTCCTACTATATATTGTGTGCATGAGAGAGAGAGAGAGAGAGAGCATATTGACAACTTCAAACAAACAGAATGGTGAGCACTCTGAATTGTGACTTTAACAATTTATTTGGCTGCAGAGATTTTCCACCAGAGTGTCTGTATGAGAGAGAGAGAGTACATGAGTTATACACTTTTACGTTTAATTTTTTTTTTATTTTTAATCTTTTCTGCTTTGTCTCGACGGTAGTGATGCCAAAAAAATACAGACAGCCACGAGACAAGGTTGGAATTTTAATTAGAGACTAATTTTGATGTTAAGTTACTTGTAATTTTTTTATTTTGTGTGTGTGTGAGAGAGAGAGAGAGAGAGTAGACTAGTTTTGCAATGATTATATATTAGTAATAAGATTGTATCATGTTTATTGCAGGCCCTTCTTGCTGATACTTTCTTCTCAGATTTCGACGAGTTATTAGACAACGAAGCCGATATTTTTGTGAGCATATTGTTTTTTTTTGTCTTTGTTGTATTAATTTTATGTATTAGTTTTTCCCTTTTGAAAATATGATTGTTGTATAATTAGTTTTTTTTTTCATTGCTAGTATCTGTTTCCTTTCAGGATGAATATAACTTTGATGTAGACAACATGGAAGAAGATGATGAAGAGATGATGGGGATGGTATTTGAGTTTATGGGGATCGAAATCGAAGATCATCATATACCTTTAAATAGATGTTATAGATTTATTATGGGAGTTTTTAGGAGATTATTTAGTATTTATTTTTCTGATTATTTTTTTTAATTTTTAAGAATTTATTTGTTATTTTGATTATATATTTGATTTAGGGTTTTGTAGAGATAAGGTGTTTGTTTGAGATAGAGCTTGAAATCGCGTTGGAATTAAATAGATATTATAAATTTATTATAAGAGTTTATCGTGCAAATTCCAGTTGGTTTTCAGACAAGACATGATGTTTATTTTGTTTATTTTTTTTAATTAAAGCAATGAAAATTAATTTTTAGATTATTGATAAATTCCTTTTTTTTCTTTAAAAGGTAGGATAAAGAGGAATGTCCAAAGACCATTTTGGATAAATTTTCATTATGAAATCATGAAGTCCTTATGCAAACTTTAATTAAATTAGTATATTAAAAGTTCAGTCATTACTGTACTGAATCCAGTCGGTGGTATTATTGACAAATCCCTATCAACTAGGCTCGCCTATTCAACTGGTCACCTGTGACCTTAAATGGGCCAGCATGACGAGCCAAGATGTGTTAAAGTTGGCCCACAGAACTACTTAACAGAAGGTCATCTCACGTGTTCTGACTGGCCCATGAGCCAATGGGTGCACGGGCTTTAATGCAACAGCAAATGGACCTCCGGGATTTTAGGCCATAACCAATGGGCTTTCAGGCTTTAAGGCCTAAGACAAAAGTAAATATTCAATGTAATGATTAATCATATAGGACTAATAAACCCCACTAATCTCACATAATATTTTGAAAAATTTGGAGGTCAATCTCTCTATATAGACTTAAGTCCGTCAAGGAAATTTATTTGTTATGAAGTCTGTTTTTGGTCAATTTTACCATACTATCCATTCCCTTTAGAAATGAAATAAAACTAAAAATTAAAAACTCCTAAATCTTAGGAATTTGACTAACATTAAATTTTTTATTCTCTCGTATCTATCTATATCCATTTATAGACTAAGAGTTTGACTAACATTAAATTTTTTTCTCTCTCATACCTATCTATATCCATATATAAGATAGGTATACATTTATATATAGTAACATTAAAAATAAAAAATAGTAACATTCAAATACAAACATTTAAACAAAAAAAAATTAAAACATTCAATATTAATATTTTTCAAAAATAACAATAGCAGTATGTTTAACAAAAATAGTAACATGCTTAACAAAAACTGTAACATACTTAACAATAATTATTTATCTTAAATTTAAACGCAAAAAATAGTACCATTCAAACACAAAAAATAGTAATATTCAAAAATAAAAAAATAGTAACATTGAATATTAATATTTAGGAAATAGTAGTAACATGTTCAACAAAAAACAGTAAGCCCTCTTGATTGAATAGAGGCATTTCTATTCCCATCAGTGTGATCCCTCCCACCATTATGACATGGAGCTTATAATTCAAGACTTCTTTGCTGGGGACCTTTCCCTTTTTGTCGAGTATTCACCCTAGTCACTGTTCTTTATAGAGAAGAAACTAGAAAAACTAGTCGATTCCCACAGACGGTGCCAGATTGTGCGTGCAGAATCTTGCACAATATAAACACGAGAACAGATCTCTCCCGTGGTGAACTCGAGTCAGTTAATCAAATGGTCAACCTTGCTATTTGAAACAGGCTGAGATTCGTTGGTGGCCTGGAAAGGTAATTAGTGACTTTCGTGGATCAAGGGAGCAATCCAGTAAGGTTGAGGGAGGTTCCTAGAACAGAGAAAGACAAGTTATAAGAGCGCCGGAGTGTTTTTTGGCGTATCCCCTCCGACGATCAAGTCAGTTTTTGAGAGAGGGGAAGAAGAAAATACTGAGTATAGGTTTGAGAAAAGGTTTTTTGTTGCATACCGTCTTGCCTTTTGTGAGGAGTATTTATACCTCAAAAACTCATGATTACTGCCAGTGTGGTTAGTAGGTGATCATTAGATACGGGCAACGTGCGCACTGATTCCTATGAGGAATGTCTTTTCTTTTAACTGCTCGGGATTCCGAGCAACCAAGGCTGCGTCATCGGCCTGCCGACTGTTTAATGAGCTCCTCTCGGCAAGGATGTAATAAATGCCCAGTCTTAGGGACATTTATTACCTTTCACTTCCGAGTCTTACCGCATTAAATGCTGTCTCATCAAGGGAATAGTGTAATTAAATGCTTATTTTTCCAAGTCGTGTGTCAGCAAGGGAATTCGGTCTTTTTGTCTCTGATGTGACACAATATGCCACGCGCCCATTCCCTATTGGCTGTGTCTTCTGCCTTCTCGTGTCTTCTGACACCAATTGTGTAAGACGAGGTCATGATGGCTAACATAGGCTAGTGACCTGTACATCAATAGCCTCTGCAGGAGCAGAGAACGTCATCCTGGATGGGGTACATCTCGATACGGAGGGGAGTGGTACATGTAGGGACCGATGTACCCATATCCGACCGAGGGATACGTGTCGGTACGTAACGTACTGGGTGTCATTGATCCCTATAAACAGTACCTCGGGGGAACAGGGACTTGTGATCCGACGGGTACGTGTCGTGATTATAATAACAAGAATTTACTGATGCTGAGGACACATGTCTTCATCTTGGAGTATTTGAAAATGTCCCATCATTATGCTTTGTGTCTTGACCAATTTAACGTGCTCTGATTGTGAAAAAATAAATTTGTTACGTAAAGCATGATCATTGATCACTCATCCATGGCTTTTTTCTTGTTGTAGAATTCAGATTTGATTTTAGGCTTCTGTAGTTGCTGTTATGTTTCTCAACATGACTAATTCTGTGTACCGGGCTTTCAAATTAAAGGAAGAGAATGAAGCCGATATTCTTGTGAGCATATTGTTTTTTTTTTTTTTTGTCTTTGTTGTATCACTTTTATGTATTAGTTTTTACCTTTTGAAAATATGATTGTTGTATCATTTGGTTTTTTTTTTCATTGCTACTTTTGTTTCTTTCAGGATGAAGATAACTTGGATGTGGAGATCATGGAAGAAGATGCTGATGGGGACCTAGCAGATATAGAAGCACTTAACTATGATGATCTTCATAGCGTTTCCAACCTGCAAAAAACACTGCACTATGTTGATATCATGCAGGTTGGTTCATGTCATTCACGTTCCATAGTTTTTTTTTTTTTAAAGATCTTGATAGCTCCGACACCTGGGGAGCAATTTGGCTTGCCTACCCGATTGGTTTAGCTTCATCATTGCTAAGACCCGTACGCATCCACGGGGTCTCACTCCTTGTGGAAGTTTGTTCCTACCTTTTATTCGGAGGCAGGAGTCCTTGAACACTGTCTCTAGGCCTTACCCTTCTAGGAGGCTTGTTCCTGTTTTTTCTTCAGGGGCAGGAGTCCTTGAACTCTGTCCCCAGGGCCTTACCCTTCCAAGAGGTTTGCTCTTGTTTTTTCTTCGGGGGCAGGAGTCCTTCAACTCTATCCCCAGGGCCTTACCCTTCCAGGAGGCTTGCTCCTGTTTTTTCTTCAGGGGCAGGAGTCCTTGAACTCTGTCCCTAGGGCCTTACCCTTGTAACTTAATCATTGGCGAGCACTGAAGGAAATAATACTTCAAAAATAGTATTTCTTTAGATTCATCACATTCTAAGGTCGCATTACAAGTTTTCCTTTCATATCTTCTAATCTATATGACCCGGAGCCTCCGATAGATATCACTTTGTAGGGCCCTTCCCAGTTAGGTCCCATTTTTCCTTCTGTTGGGTCACGGGTATTGGCCGTTATCCTTCTGAGGATCAGATCGCCGATTTGAAACTCTCGCGCCTTGACCTTTTTGTTGTGAAGTTGGAAAATCTTTTCCTGATACTTGGTTACTCTCAAGGCGGCTATTTCCCTTATTTTTTCCGCTAGATCCAAATTCAGTCAAAGTTGATGGTCATTTCCCCCTACATCGAAAGATTGCGTCCTTATGGTCGGGAGTCCTACTTCTAGAGGTATGATTACTTCCATTCCGTAAGCCAGGGAGTAAGGGGTTTCTCCTGTCGAGGACCGAGGGGTGGTCTTGTACGCCCATAAAATGTTCAATAGCTCATCCGCCCATTTTCCCTTGGCTTTCTCCAATCTCTTCTTGATCCCATTGATAATTGTTTTGTTGGAGGCTTCTGCCTGCCCATTGGCTTGGGGGTAGGCAGGGGTGGAATAGAAATTACGGATTTCGAGTTGCTCGCAAAAAGACTTGAAAAGCCCGCCAGTGAATTGGGTCCCGTTATCTGATACAAATGTTCGGGAATCCCAAATCTGATGATTATGTTTCTCCAGACGAACTTTTTAGCATCTATGTCGCAGATGTGAGTCAATGGCTGCGCCTTAACCCACTTGGTGAAATAATCTGTGGCCACAATGAGGAACTTTCTATTTCCAGGAGCCTTAGGCAGGGGTCCAACTAAGTCAAGTCCCCACTGGGCGAATGGCCAAGGGCTGGTCAGGGGTGCAAGTCCCTCGCGGGTTGCCTGATTGCAGGGGAGAACTTCTGACATTGGTCGCATTTTTGGACATATGCATATGCGTCCCTTTGCATCCGCGACCACCAATATCCTTGAGACATGATGCGGTGTGCCATGGATCGCCCCCTAGAGTGCCCCTCGCATATTCCTTTGTGTACCTCATAGAGGAGGTCTTCCACCTGATCCTCTTGGACGCATAGTAGGTAAGGTCCTAAGAAAGACCTTCGATATAGCTTTTGATCCGGAGAGACCCAAAACCTCGGGGCTTTAAGTTTTATCTTCCTGGCTTCCTTTGAACACTCCGGGAGGTCTCCTGTCATTAGGAACCTGAGATAGGGATCAATCCAGCTGGACGGTTTGTGTGTGTCCTGGACGGCCATTGCCTTAGGGGCTTGGTCTATACAGGAGGTGGGAATGTATTCTATGGTGATTCTGCGCAATTGACAGGATTTTAGTGACGAGGCTAGGCAAGTTAGGGCGTCGGCATGCGCGTTCTTGTCTCGGGACACTTGTTTGATCTCGATCTTTCCAAATTTACGGATTACAGTCGTCGCCTTGTGATGGTAAGCCTTTATCCTAGGGTCCCTTGTCTCAAATTCTCCATTAACTTGGTTGACTACCAGCATGAAATTGCAATGTATGATCAAGTTCGTAACCCCAGTTACCTCAGCTAACCGAAGTCCTGAGATGAGATCCTCATACTCAGCTTCATTATTGGACGCTTTGAATCTCAGTCGAACGGCCTGCTTCGCGACCATCCCATCTGGAGAGACTAGCAAGATACCGATCCCGGACCCCTTACTGTTCGACGAACCGTCCACACATAAAAGTCATGGTGATCCCTCACAATTCGTTGGGGACGCTATGCCGGGAGGAGGTCGCTCTGGAACGGGATGTTCCCCTGAAAACTCTGCTATGAAGTCCGCCAACACTTGACCCTTTATAGCGGTTTGAGGTTTGAAATGAATGTTGTGTTCCCCCAGCTCCACTGCCCACTTGGAAATCCTTCCAGAGAGGTCTGCCTTCCTCAAAATGGCCTTTAAGGGCTGATCGGTAAGGACGGTAATTGGGTGTGCCTAGAAATAATGCCTTAGTTTTCTTGCAGTTGTGACAGGGATAGAGCCAATTTTTCTAGGGGCAGGTATCTTGTCTCCACATCCAGGAGCGCCTTGCTTATGTAATAAATCGGCTTCTGACGGTGCTCATGCTCACGAATAAGTACCCCGCTAACGGCAAATTCTGATACAGATAAGTACAAGAAGAGCATTTTCCCCTGGATAGGGACGGATAGGGTCGGGAGAGTCCTGAGGTATTCCTTGATTCCAGCCAGGGCGTCTTCGCACCCCTGGCTCCACATATCCTTCCTAGCCCTCTTGATGGCTCCAAAAAAGGGTTTACATTTGTCTGAGGAGCGTGAGATGAAACGGTTAAGTGCTGTCAGCATCCCTATGAGCTTTTGGACTTCTCGGACAGTTCGGGGGCTCTGGATGTCTAGGATCGCTTGAATCTGATCCGGGTTAGCTTCGATTCCTCGCTGACTCACCAGATATCCGAGAAATTTACCCGACTCTACTCCGAAAATGCACTTTGCAGCGTTCAGCTTCAGCCCGTATTCCCTGAGGGTGGAGAAGGTATCTGCCAAATCTACCAGGTGGTCACAGCTTCGTTTGCTCGTCACCAACATATCGTCAATGTAGACCTCCATAGTGTTGCCGATCTGCTTTTTGAACATCCGATTCATCAGTCTTTGGTATGTTGCCCCGGCATTCTTTAGCCCAAACGACATCACTTTGTAACAGTAAACTCCCTTTGGAGTGATAAACGCCGTCTTTTCCTGATCCGGGGGATGGAGAGGGATCTGGTGATATCCTGCTCGGGCATCCAAGAAGTCCATGCGTTCATATCCGGCAGTGGCATCCACTAGCTGGTCCACCTTTGGTAGGGGGTAGTCGTCCTTGGGACATGCCTTGTTTAGATCAGTGAAGTCTACGCAAACACACCATTTTTCCCTCTTCTTCTTCGCGCAGACCGTGTTAGACAGCCATTCTGAGAACTGTACTTCCCGAATGGCGTTGGCCTCCAGGAGTTTATCGATCTCTTTGTTGACCGCGCGGGCGTGGTGCGGGGCCATGCGTCGTGACTTCTGTTTTATTGACTTATGCGTCGGGTCAACATGCAGCTTGTGTGTGATTATTTCGGTGTCCACTCCTGTCATTTTCATTGCGTTCCAAGCGAATACGTCTGTATTTCCTCTCAGGAACTCAATCATCTCCTCCTGTTCGGCTGTGGGTATCGCGGTTCCAACTAAGAAGTATCTTTCCTCCTCATCCTCCACCAAGGGCACCTTTCGGAGGTCTTCCACCGACTGTTTGTCGGGTCAATTCGGGGGTCATCCATTCTTGGACGCCCAGACTGTGATTGTTATTTTTCCAGGATCTCTTCCGGAGCGCGCCCCTTTTCTTGGGTGAAAGCCCCTGCTCTAACAGTTGAATAAAAATAATTTTTTGCGGACGCTTGGTCCCCTCAGATCTCCATGATCCCCTCTGGCATGACAAATTTTAGTTTCTGGTGATAAGTGAATTGCACCGCTCCCAACGCATGCAGCCATGCTCGTCGCATGATCACATTGTAGGGAGAGTCCGTATCAATCACGACAAACTCGGTGTTGATGGTGAAGGGACCTGTGACAACTGGCAATGTGATTTTGCCTATGGGCAGGGCGAACGAGCCGTTGAATCCGATGAGGGGTGTCTTGACCTTGGTGAGGTCCTTGTGGCCAAGACCCATTCATTTTAAAGTGTCAGAGTATATCACTTCCGAGGAACTTCCGGAGTCTATCAACACCCTCTTGACGTCGAACTTGCCTATCTTCAGGGTAATGACAAAGGCATCGTTATGAGGAGTCACCACGCCCATCAAGTCTGCGTCGGAGAACGTGATGCTCGGCTCGCCAATCCTGGCCCTTTTACTGGGCAGCCCTCCATCATTCTCGACTATCTTTCTTGTAAAAGCTACCCTCTTGAGATCGGACTCGAGTTCCTTGGACATGGGGCGATCTAGCAGACATACATGGATCACATCTATGACGTTGTTCGGCTCCTCGGTCGGGATAGGGGTGTGTCTCTCTTTCGGCCTGGGCTCTATGTATTCTTTTAAGTATCCGTCTCGGACCAATCTTTTCAAGAAAGATTTGTATACCCTGCAGCTTTTGGTGCGATGGCCGAAATCCCGGTGATAGGAACACCTGACCTTTTGATCACGAGTGGAGGGATTGCTCTGCATCCTGGGCGGTCACTTGAAGAATGGCTCACGCTTGATCTTATGGAGTAACTTGTAGATGGGTTCTTTGAACATAGTGTGAACTCCTTTGAATGACCCCCTGGAGGGGGTAGCAGTCCCTTTCGGGAAGTATCCTCCCGTTCCCTCTCTTTTCTCTTAGGTTGGAGGGTTTTGCTTTTGCTGCTTCTCATCTCGTCCTCGACCCTAAAATACTTGTTTATCCGGGGCATCAGCTCACCCATATCCGAGGGAGTCTTTTTGGTCAGGGATCAGTACAGGTCCGTGTCCCTTGCCAAGCCGAGCCTGAAAGACGCCGCTGTCATGACTTCCGAGCAGCCCTCTACCTCATTAATCTCTTCCCAGTACCAGATGGCGTATTGGTGAAGGGTCTCGAATTCCCTCCGTCTGAGTGTTAGCAATGATCCAACGTCTTTAGGCCGCTTACTTCCCGTAATGAATCGGGCTAGGAACTGCCTCGTCAATTCTTTCCATGATCCAATGCTGTTGGGGGAAAGCGCCTCGAACCACTTCATCGCAGAGTCCCCCAAGCTCATGGGAAACACTCGGCAGAGGAACCGTTGGTCTGAATGATACAGGGACATCATTTGCTTGTATTGCCTGAGGTGGGCTTCGGGATCAGACCGCCCATCATAAGTTTTGAACCTCGGCACGACGAACTTTTTTGGAACCTCCATCTCTCCGATATCCCTGGTAAAGGGTGTTTGTACGACCTCGTCTTCGACCTCATCCTGGATAGCCTTACTCTTTCTCCTGGATTCCAACCGAGCTCTGAGATCAATTTCCTCCCCAACAGGATGTCTTCTGAAGTCTCCAAGTTCATCAATAGGTCCCCAATTTCCTGGGCGTCGTGTGGATAGGGTTGAATCCTCCTCGGACTCATCTCCCTTCCTCCACCTTGACAATCCTTGCCGGAGGTCGTCCAGGGCTAAAGGCCTTGCCTTCCTGAAATGGTCGTTAAGAGGGTGGTCGTTGGCTCTTGGTCGCTTTGGGGCCCTGGAGCTTTCTGCCTTGTTATTTAAATGATTCCTCAGATCCTTCGTTTCTGCCTCCCGGGCGGGGAGTCCACGAGAAAGGAATGAGTCCCTTGACCCTTCACCGGAGGCGGCGAATTCGTTGAGCCGGCTTAGGACGTTCACATTGTCTTTTTTCAACTGTCGTAATCAATCCCCGAACTTTTCTTCGATCACCTTCGCCAGTTGACGAGCCAAGGGGGCGGATCCTCCTGACCTGATGCCCATACTGGTTTGAGGAGTAAACCCTCTTGACTGAATAGAGGCATTTCTATTCCCATCAGTGTGATCCCTCCCTCCATTATGACATGGAGCTCGTAATTCAAGACTTCTCTGCTTGGGACCTTTCCCTTTTTGTCGAGTATTCACCCTGGTCAGTGTTCTTTATAGAGAAGAAATTAGGAAAACTAGTCGATTCCCACAGACGGCGCCAGATTTTGGTGCAGGATCTTTCACAATATAAACATGAGAACAGATCTCTCCCGTGGTGAACTCGAGTCAGTCAATCAAATCATCAACCTTGCTATTTGGAATAGGCTGAGATTCGTTGGTGGCCTGGAACGGTAATGAGTGACTTCGTGGATCAAGGGAGCGATCCAGTAAGGTTGAGGGAGGTTCCTAGAACAGAGAAAGACAAGTTATAAGAGCGTCGGAGTGTTTTTTGGCGTATCCCCTCCGACGATCAAGTCAGTTTTTGAGAGAGGGGAAGAAGAAAATACTGAGTATAGGTTTGAGAAAAGGTTTTTTGTTGCATACCGTCTTGCCTTTTGTGAGGAGTATTTATACCTCAAAAACTCATGATTACTGCCAGTGTGGTTAGTAGGTGATCATTAGATACGGGCAACGTGCGCACTGATTCCTATGAGGAATGTCTTTTCTTTTAACTGCTCGGGATTCCGAGCAACCAAGGCTGCGTCATCGGCCTGCCGACTGTTTAATGAGCTCCTCTCGGCAAGGATGTAATAAATGCCCAGTCTTAGGGACATTTATTACCTTTCACTTCCGAGTCTTACCGCATTAAATGCTGTCTCATCAAGGGAATAGTGTAATTAAATGCTTGTTTTTCCAAGTCGTGTGTTAGCAAGGGAATTCGGTCTTTTTGTCTCTGATGTGACACAATATGCCACGCGCCCATTCCCCATTGGCTGTGTCTTCTGCCTTCTCGTGCCTTCTAACACCAATTATGTAAGACGAGGTCATGATGGCTAACCTAGCATAACATAGGCTAGTAACCTGTACATCAATAGCCTCTGCAGGAGCAGAGAACGTCATCCTGGACAGGGTACATCTCGGTACAGAGGGAAGTGGTACATGTAGGGACCGATGTACCCATATCCGACCGAGAGATACGTGTTGGTACGTAACGTACTGGGTGTTATTGATCCCTATGAACAGTACCTCGGGGGAACAGGGACTTGTGATCCGACGGGTACGTGTCGTGATTATAATAACAAGAATTTACTGATGCCGATAACACCTGTCTTCATCTTGGAGTATTTGAAAATGTCTCATCATTATGCTTTGTGTCTTGACCAATTTAACATGCTCTGATTGTGAAAAAATAAATTTGTTACGTAAAGCATGATCATTGATCACTCATCCATGGCTTTTTTCTTGTTGTAGAATTCAGATTTGATTTTAGGCTTCTGTAGTTGCTGTTATGTTTCTCAACATGACTAATTCTGTGTACCGGGCTTTCAAATTAAAGGAAGAGAATGAAGCCGATATTCTTGTGGGCATATTGTTTTTTTTTTTTTTTTGTCTTTGTTGTATCACTTTTATGTATTAGTTTTTACCTTTTGAAAATATGATTGTTGTATCATTTGGTTTTTTTTTTCATTGCTACTTTTGTTTTCTTTCAGGATGAAGATAACTTGGATGTGGAGAACATGGAAGAAGATGCTGATGGGGACCTAGCAGATATAGAAGCACTTAACTATGATGATCTTGATAGCGTTTCCAACCTGCAAAAAACACTGCACTATGCTGATATCATGCAGGTTGGTTCATGTCATTCACGTTCCATAGTTTTATGCTTCTTGTACCCATGTTTCCATTCAAAAGCCCTCATAACACCCAATAGATGTTTGTATCTGGTTTGTGTATGTCTGGTGACCTTCTTTTGAAGCTAACTTTTACTTCTTATATTCTTTGTCTTGCTTTTCTATTTGACAGGAAAATTATCTTTCTTTACCCTTTCAATTGTTCGGAGGGATGAAATCAGGTAATGGTGTGTGTGTGTGTTTTTTTTTTGGGGGGTGGGTGGAGTTGGGCACAACAGATGACTGACTAGTTACCTAGAACTTTTCCAATTTAACAATAACCAGTTGAATGAAGTTATGAATCTATGATAGAATTAATGTAGAAAAAACTCAAGTACCGATCACTAATCAAAATATTTTATGTAAATAAATTGAATAAAAATGACAAATAATAATATTATATAAAACGCTGCGTATGTGGGGAAAAAAAAGCTTAGTTTTCACACACCAGCCTTTTGAGCACATGAAAAGGTTAGCTCACCACGGGGAAGCTACACACTCCTCTTCTTCCTCCTTTGTGTGTATATGGTTTGTGAGTGGCATGGATGGCTGTTTAGCCTTGGGCTTTGAATTTGATAATTTTCCATGTTTTGTTGAGTTAAAGTTCATACTGACATTTATGGGATTGATGATTTGGTCTTTGTGTTGCAGAAAGTTGAAGATGCACTTGAGAATGGGGCTGAAATCTCAAATCAAGGGATTGCTTCAGACGGCGATCGAGAATACCAGCTGATAGTAGACTGTAATGCCTTATCTGTTGATATTGAGAATGAAATTGGTGTCATCCACAATTTTATCCGTGACAAGTACCGATTAAAGTTTCCAGAGCTTGAATCCCAAGTTCAACACCCCATAGATTATTCTCGAGTAGTTAAAAAGATTGGGAATGAGGTGGATCTGACCCTTGTTGATTTGGAAGGTTTTTCACCGTCAGCTATCATTATGGTTGTCTCAGTAACAGTATCAACTACAAAAGACAATTGATGGCATGTGATCCAGCACTTGCTCTGGTTTTGGCAAAGAAAAAAGTTCTTGTTTTTCTGGAGAGTAGAATGGGAGATATTGCTCCAAATCTTTCTGTTCTTGTTGGAAGTGCTGTTGCTGCAAAACTTATGGGGATTGCTGGTGGTCTTCCAGCACTAGCTAATATTCCAGCTGATAATGTTGAGCATCTTGGTGCCAAGAGAAAGAACTTGGCAGGGTTTTCCAGTGCAACATCCCAATTTCGTGTAGGTTATCTTGAGCAAACAGAGATTTTTCAGAGCACACCCCCTTCTTTGAGGATATGTGTAGACTGTATCAGAGGAGATCCAACGGGGAAGAAAGGAAGAGATTACCGGGATCAAATCCATAAGATGATTGAAAAGTGGCAAGAGCCACCTCCTGCAAAGCAACCTAAAGCTCTTCCAGTTCCTGATACCCAGCCTAAAAAAAGGAGAGGTGGTCATCGGTTGCGGAAGATGAAAGAAAGGTAGTGCTTTTTTCCTATTTCCTTATATTGGGGATTCTATACACCCACCCATACATCTATCTATATAAAGACGTATATATGATGTTAAGTGCTTTAGTACATCAAAATGTGATATTTTTCCATACTTCAATTCAGATATGCTATTACGAAAATGCGGAAGCCGGCAAATAGGATGCAGTTTGGAGTACCTGAAGAGAGTTCTTTAGGTAATGTAGCGAACTTCGCATTATCTAGAATTTGGTCGATTATAATTGTTATTATTTGAGTTTGATCTACTTTTTTGTCTGCCACTGCATATCTGCTAGATAAGTAATTCGTGTGATGCCCCAAAGCTTGAACTGTAGTTAGTACATTAGCAAGTGCCCTAATCCACAAAAAGTTGTCTATCCTATTGATATTTCTTCCGTTTTTTACATAACTTGATTTTAAATTTCCATCTTAAAACTCGCCATCTACCTTGTTTCTGTCTCTCATGATGTATTTGTGTAGATTATTGGGTAAGTATGTAACTGTTATCATCTTTGTACTTTGGGGTTTTTTTTTTTTTTCTTCTTCACATGTTCTGTTTCTTACTATATGTGCTCTTCCTCATAAATAGGCAATGGACTGGGGGAAGGATATGGAATGCTAGGCCAGGCTGGAAGTGGGAAGTTGCATGTCACAGCTGAACAGAGCAAGCTTGCTGCTAAAGTTATGAAGAAGTATGTTTTTTTTACTCTTTTTGGTCCTTTTTTGGCCCCCCAATCAAACTGAAAAATTTTGCAGCCTTCGGATTATTGTAAATTCATTGCTGTGACCAGAGTTTGGTGATCTTCTTGTTTCTTATGCTGTTATAATAAGTCAGTCAGCGTCATATGATCTCATGGGTTGTGAAATGTTCTCAGGTTCAAGGTGAAGCATTATGGAAGCAGTGGTGCTACCTCGGGACTGACTTCAAGTTTGGCCTTCACCCCAGTGCAGGTGTGACTCACTTTTCACCATCCCATCAACTTCTTCTATCAGTTTTATGTGGCATTCAAATATAAAATTGGTGATGCAGACTCATTTTAGCTAGTTTTAAAACAATTATATCTGAAGATGGACTAATCATAAAAGGAATGTAAAGATGAATGTAGAGTATAATTTTCTGGTCATTTCCTTCCATGTAGTTTGCTTCTCTCCTTTTTCCTGTTCCCTTTTTTCCCATGTTAGTTATTCACATGCCATTGAGTCTTTGCAGGGGATTGAGCTCTCAAATCCACTGGCACATGCACATCAGCTTGGAAGTGGAACTCAAAGCACCTATTTTTCAGAAACTGGAACATTTTCAAGGATCAAGAGGACGTGAAGCACTGCAAGGTTGTGTATGCCGCTAGAATTTCAGCCCGTTTGAATACATTTTAAAAGTCATCTGAGGATACAGTCTAAGCTGTCCAATGATTATGATAGATGTACTCTGAACATCATGCTTTTGGATGCATTACTTACTGTGAAGCCAATTAAGATAGGAGGGTTTTGGTAGAATGTTCAAAGTATAAACTTTGCATAAATTTTTGATCATGCATAGTGAATTATCCTGAACTTGTCATTGTACTGGAGTTAAAGACGTGGATACATTCTTCTTAACTTCTTCCATCATTTTCAACATTGCTAAGTGTCTTTGAAGACGATGGAATAAGTATGCGCCATAAGTTGAGTTACCTTTTGGTAATCAACGTGATGTATAGGAATGTTAGTATATATCAAATATTCATATATATGCATATATATTAAATTAACCTTGAAAAAATAGAATAAGTTGGGACAAAAAAACTTAGTTTCGCTTAAACCACAATAAAGGGGCCCAAGACTGTTACCAGATTTTGTCAGTTTAATTGCTATATGTGATTATGTGTTCTGTCTTCAAGAGTAGGTGGGAAGCATGTCACACCTCAATAATTATTCATGATTCCTGAGTTCTGATGGTGGACTCCTATGGTGGATTGAGATTGGTCGAGGTACCAACACATTTTTCTTTATACAATGCTTAATCCTTACAATGAATTTGGTCTAATTTTCTTCCAGGAAAATACCATAAGCATTCCCATTATTTTATACCTGTATCTTTTATCAACAATTTTATTGATTACTTAGCATTGCATTCTGGTGGTAGGACTTTATATCTTGATGTATCTTTGCAGTATGAGTAAAACATGAGTTTCCCTCTTGCCCACTCCAACCCTGTTATCTGTTGCTGTGATAGTTTAGCAAATTCTTCTCCCTCAACAGGGTCTAAGCTTGAGAGGCCACTCCTGGAACACGACGGAGTTGAAGAATTCTGCTGCAATATACAGCCTTCAAGTTCCATCTCTCCAAATGAGGCCACAAATGGTGCATACCTATAATTAACTGGGTATTTTCCTCCATGAGTTGCCCACTGTGATCCATCCCATATTGTTGCATGGGCTGACATTGGCTTCAATGGATAAGCAGCAGAGATTGCTTCATTGTGGATAATCTCTCTTACAGGTACATTGTCTACTAGAAATCTGCATGACTTACCAGAAATTTCAGAATCATGACTCATGAGGAGAGAAAAGTCTTCGGTTTTTTTTCCAATAATCTACACTTGGGTTAGACTACGGTACAGAGTTTGGTACCATACTGGAGTTTACTATGGAAGAAGTGTGAGTTATAATTAGGGGTGTCAAAATATGTCACGACTCGTTAACACGACACGAAATGAGAGGGTTTGATAATCTCTCTTATGGGTATGGGTGAAACCAATCAAAAGAAATATATGACATGACTCGTTTATATACCGGTTATCCATGGTTCATACATGACACAACTCGTTATACACGAATTAATAAACGAATCGGGTTTGTATGGAGTGCTATTTGACACGAATCTACTAAGACCTGACATGAACTCGCCTCAGCCAACACAATTGACTGACCTAGTTATGACTCATTTCAGGTCAAGTTTTGACTCAAAAAGTTAAGTTGTGACTCATTGGTGTCAAGTTCTGACTCAAAAAAAGTCGGAATCATTTACAAAATGCTAGGATCAATCCTAAAATGTATGGATTGATCCCAAACCATCCCGTTTTGTAATAACCTCACTTGATTAAGTTGTAATATTGTCCTGTTTGTAATTTTTTTGGATATGGCACCAAGAAGCAACTTTTTGATACTGTAGTCTTACCCTTTACACATTTATGAGACTAAAGACTTACACTATGTGATGATTGTTCCAGAGGATGCTGTATTCATGAAACTGTGCTGTTGGGTCGAACCAGAGGTAGAATTTCTCTTCTCTTCCTGTGCTGACACTTCCATTCCCATACATATTTGTTTGCAGGACCCAGTCTCTTTCCTTCTCATGACCAAGCAATTCAAAGTCGATCTCATCATGGTTGTGGGGGAAAAGTTCTTTATTAGACAACTGAAAAAAGGGGAAAAAACATCTGCATTAGACAATATAATTTGCCAATTGTATACCTGTTAATGCATCCACACCTACTTATTTGATACTTGCTCTTGGTTTTTTCAGCCAGACATTTACACATATACATATATGCAGTGTATCACTTCACCAATGCATACTTGTCAATTGTCATGCTATTTCAAAACTGTGTCTTAGAAATTACATTAGTGCTTCATCAAACATTTTCTCATCCTTGAATGTGTGTCATTATAAGGGAACTACTACGGTATCGAGTTTGCCATTGTACTGACATTTAAAATTAAATAACAATTATTTACAACTTATTTGAAGCCAAGTTATCACTCAAAAAAGTTAATCACAACTCAATTTTATAGAGTTAGACTATAAAAAAGTTGGGATTGATTCTAACATAGTAGTATTGGTCCCAAACAACTCTATTGTTTCTTAACTCTACTAGATTCAGTCATAACATCATCTTTATTTTATAGTTACTCTTATGTATTGTAGTGGTAACTAAATGGTTTGATGGATTTAATAGATGTCATTCTATGTATGACATGCATCATTGCAATTTGTATGACATGAGCATATGCTTCTTCCATATATGTTAAGGAGGAATGAGCTTACATAAAAGGGTACTACAACTCCTGATGTAAAACCAGCAGGAACCTTTATTGCAGCACTGAAAAATCCATAGTGGTATTTCTTCTTTGAGACCAATCCACAGCCTGGAGAGAGAGAGAGTCAGCAAATTTATAATCAAATTGGTTCAAGCCAGTCTTGCTAAGAGGATGTTACCAGAGGCTTTGTCTAAACTGAGATCAGCATAGGACCCATTATTGATCCAACGGACATGTGAGGCTCCATAAGATACAGAGAACCCTTGATTAACTGAGACATGATTGAAACGACCGGTTAATAGCTCAACACTTGGCGGCGTGTAAACTGCACCACGCGAGGAAACCTCGACTATAATCCTGAAGATTAAGAGACTTGATAAGAGTAATTTGTGTTGCAGAAATGCCATCTTTCAATTGATGAATGAAGATGACATGCTACATATATAGGGACTTGAAGGTTCTCAATCTTAGCTTAGTTGTTGCAAGCTGGCTTTAGAGTGAGAATCCCTATCATGTTGTGATCATAAAGACAATTACGAGTAAATCCATGTAGGACGACTGTGACAAGTCTGGTGGTCCGTTGATAGCCATACCTACGGACTGTTATTGACATGACTCGACACCTCCCTTCTTGAGATAACTGTGTAGATTGTGTAAATTACGAGTCTCACACGACTTGTGATTGTCTCAGATACATTTCATACGAGTCATCTGAGTTATGATATCGTGACAACACTATGTTGAGAATTTTTTATAATGTTCAATTTTTTGTTCCATGTAACTTTTTGGTATGTCATCTGATTGTATTTTGTGACGTCATATTGATGCTATTCAATACCCTCTTAAATCTTAATCAATAGCCGATTTTACGACCTTTATGATGGGGTCCTGCCTTCAATTTGAGGTTGTGATGCAGGACAGGCATTGAATTGTTGATGGTTCCACAAACCTGAGAGGTTCGATGAACTACCTACCGAGTTGGGCCATGGCCCATGGCCCATGTACATCATCACATGCCAACCTTTTTTACCGTACTGATTTGAAGTCAATAGAAGTTCGAGTAAAGGCAAAAATCATAGTTGGACACCACCAATTTCGTGATCAGTCACAGCTCTCATTTGGCTTGTTAGAAACTTCCTCGACGAGGATGAAAACAACTCCTGGTTGACACAGCAGTGAAACCTTACATGTTAAGCAGTCTAATCTAGAGAACATTCTTAAGATTGATTTTTAAGACGGCGAATCGTTTATGGTATAATAAATAGGAGTGCAACTTAAACGGGACGAGAGATCAATGTTAATATAATCTTAGATATAAAATCTTTATTCTTAACTCTACTTCAACCCGAGATACTCGATTTAACTATTATTTGAGTAGATTTTGGACAGGAGAGAAATCATTTGAGTTGTCTATCCGTGTGGGATGATAACTCTTTATCTTTCTTTTGTCTTTTTTAATTATTCCATTGTGTAAATTTCTTTCGGTATCTATAGTTCTTATAAATCATATTTCTCTCCCTTTTAAATTCGGGAAGGGTTCGATTTTATCAATTCGAGTTGGGTTCAAGTTAAACCTGTGAACCCGAGCCTTGTCCGAATTCGATTTGAGTTGAAGCTTTTCAACCTTAACACTATCTTTTTGGGATTGTGTTTGGGTTGAATTCAAGTTGGCCCACCCAAATTGCACTCCAAATAATAAAATTGTATTGAACAATATACACAATGTATTGGATATAAGAAAAAAATTAAATATTACTATGTTACGAAATGACATTGGCTAACTATGTGTAAAACAACACGAGTTAACTCAAAGATGCCTTAAATGGCTTGATCGAGTCGCATGAGACTCATGGTTCATAAAGAATGTAGAACGTTATCGCAAAAAGAAGTTGTCTAGTCAAATAGAACTTATTAGAGTTGTATCGGTATCGACCAATACTTAGGACCATATAATCTAGAGTTAAAAGGTTGGGTTATATAGTCTTTTAGGGTGCAGACTTATTAATTATGATTGCCCCTTCAAGAAATAAGATCAACCTGTAGAATCCAAGGCTGTATTTGAAAAGTAGTAGTTTGCAGCAACGAAGTGACTAGGTGCTTAAACTTGGATGATTTCCGGTGCCCAGTCTCTGGAGAGATACCCAGTGACAATCACAACATGGCATCCATATGACATGACTAGGATCTTGAACTGGTTCAGCACTGGAAATCCCACCTGTACCAGTTCGAGCAAGAAACCAATTTTCACTGATCTAGTGCCCAATTTGGCTCTAAAGTTAATTTCCGGTAGTCGATTTTATATTCATTGATCCGGAACAACATGTCATGATGCGAACATATCTCTACTACTACTTGGTTAACAACTGGTCTTTAAGCAACATTGTTTCGATGTGTTAGTCAAATCCAGCAGGTAGTGTTGTCAGCAGAACCGCCCATGAAAAGGAGGACTTTTAATTCATCTTTTCCTTCAGAGTGTTGTCCCATGTTTTGGTGAGTTCAGGTTTGTTGACACCGTTAGGGTCCATCTAGTTGCACGTACTACCCGCCTCCGTTCCCCAGGCAAGAAGGCTGGGAGGAAAACAATCAAGGTCTCGTGTGGCAGCTGCTGAGCAATTTCCTTCTTGTCATGGTGTGTGGCTCGAACGAATGAAGAGCAGAACAAAGCTGCACGAGATTCACTTGGCTCTCTAAAAAGACTAAAACAAGCATTTTTAACAGGTCTTGCTTGATGTAAACTAGTGCAATACCACACTGATTGGTTCTACTTTCTTCAGCAGTTTCTTTTACCCAACAGAATGAGGTTGAGAGTATTAGTTCAAACAAGACTAGTGTTTCCATTTCATTGTTTTATTCACATCAATACACACACACTTGTGTGGGAAGCTGGCTTTTTTTGTTAATACTGTTCACTTGGTATTGCCAAGAGCTAATTTCCTCTTCTCTTCATTTTCCGATTCTCCTCTCAGGCCGAAAATAGTAAGATTGTGTTATGCTGCTACCAAAATCACCCTTCGTATGTCTCAGTATATACGAATGGCTCATACAAATTGGGACACATTAGGTTTGAAATGAGGTGTGATAGACTTCATTCTTGTCGAAATGTCAAGAGCCGTCTCTAGTCTTGCAACAACTTGTTCCATGGATGGCCGTTGCTGCTTAAGCCCTGTGCATGACAAAGCTAGCTTGAGTATCAGTTCAAAAGCTTCAACTGAGTACTCCCCATTAAGTTTAGGATCAGCAAAATCTGTCACATTCCCGCCTTTGGTGAGGTTTCTTGCCTGACAAGCAGAGAATAGGAAGAGAGAAATTTGTAATAGTTGTCGTTTTAGAACAATCTTTTAAAAATATGGAAACTTAACGCTGACAGAAATTTGTCTCTCACCATTTTATTCAGAGGCATTGGACGTTTCATATCGAGATTAATAACCCTCTGCCCTGACAGAATTTGGAGAAGCACTATTCCAAAACTGTAAACATCGCCTGAAGAATTAACATGTCGATTCTTCTGGTACTCAGGATCCACATAACCGAATGTTCCTCTCACTTCTGAGCTCACAAATGACTGGTCTATGTTCATTACTTTAGATAACCCAAAGTCTGACAGTTTCCCTTGAAACTTATCGCTTATAAGAATGTTTGTTGGCTGCAGCAAATTAATATAGTAAAAAGCAATAAAGTAGGAATTTCATTATACATTGCTACAAGTATATAATGTAAGGATGATAAACCAACCTTAATATCCCGATGAACGATGCAGCCTTCAGGATATGTGTGGAGGAACCCGAGACCCCTAGCACAACCAATTGTAATCTCAAGTCTTTGAATCCAAGACATAGTTTTTTTATCTTTACCTATGTCAATCAACAGTCTTCATTAATTCCCTATAAAATAATGGAAAGAAAAAGAGAAACGAAAGTAAAGCTTTAAATTGGAGATGATAATGTTACCAAATAGCCACTCTGAGAGATTCCCATTTTCACATAGCTCGTAAACAAGAAAACATTCTTCTTTTCCCTCGTAATAGCCTAGCAGTACTACAAGATTTGGATGTCTGACATGTGCTAGGCTTCTAACTTCTCTAACAAAAGTTTCCATCTGGCCGTCGTTGATTATTTGCTTAACTGCAACGTGCTGTCCGTTTGATAGTATGCCTTTATACACCTTCCCTGTGCAGAATTATAACATCTCATCAAATTCCAACTTTCAGGAAAGCCACAATTCCTTGGGATATCAAATATGCATCATTATGACAGTAAATTTAGCTCTTGATTTGAACTTTGACCTTCATTTTGTATATGCGAACCATTATTTTGGACGATGAATGAGCTTTAAACCTTGACGCTTAATCTACAGCCCCAAATTTATTGAGTTTCCTTACTAAAAAGTGTAAAAAAAGGGCAGCCCATTCTTGACTTAATGTCTGTTAGGCATATAATTATGACAGTGAATTTATATCCTGATTTGAGCTTTGACCTTTATTTTATATTTGTGAACAATTTTGTTTGGGAGATGAACGAGGTTTAAACCTTGATGCTTAATACACAATCCCAAATTTATCTAGATTCCTAGCTTTGGGTTTTTGCGCAGAATGGACTTCTAAGTTGTATTATGTCTGCACTATGGAGCTTGATCATATTCTACATTGAAACTAGAAATAAAGGTCTTTCCCATTTTCTTATGCTCACCTCTCATGTTTAAGGCACTCAAATCATTGTTTTTCTGTTCTGGGAGGCATGAGATCTTATACCTGCACGTTATATCTTATCAATAGGTTCTCTCTAAGTCTGTTCTTTCTTTCTTCAATATAATCTTTGCAGGTTTTATGCTGTTTCTCTCTGAAACCTTCTTTTTTGAACCTTTTTCAATTTATTATTAACTGTGAATCTTGAACAATCAAAGGAAGTGCCAGTTATCTCTAGGCAATAAAGAATTACTCACCAGCTATGCCTTGGCCAATGAAGTTCAGTGCACTGAGATTATTTGTGGCAGAATAAACTTCCTTAATTGACATCGAATGACAGCTGGAATCTTCAGATGGCGAATCGTTGGATGCTGCCAGGTAAAACAAGGACTACAAATTCACAACTGTAATCAGTTATTGGTTTCACAATAAATCATCACTAAGACATACCATATTTTCCTCGTGTTAGCTTCATTTTAATTTTTTTCCTAAAGAAGATCAATGATGCAACGACTATAATTACTGTGATCCCTGCTATACATCCAATTGAAATCCATAGACCTGCAATCATCACACAACATATCCAAAATTTAAACAAGAGATCAAAGCAAAGGACAATAACTGCAATGGAACTACAATAGATAGAGGCATGCGAACCCTTCTATGCATGAAAAATGATGATTATTGCTAGTCAGAAACACCTGTGCTAAGTTTAGTTTTATGTCCACCTTTGCCACCTTGATCATCTGCAGAAGATCGCACGATTAATAACAGGATTTGCTGAATGCGTGGATAGACAAACTGAAGGAAAATAAAACACGGAAGTGTGTAATCCGGATACTGCTACACCTGAAGGAAGGCTTTCATTTCCAAGGCATTTGTAAATTTCTTGAACCCATTTTTCATCATTAATACTTTGGCTTGTCAGTGACACCAACAGTGCAAACCTACAAACATCTGCTTCTACCTTCATCGAGTCGTTGGTATCGTTTGATGATACCCCCATCTCTGTCCACCTCCTCTGACAAGCATTGCAACCCTTATCAAATTTGCCTGTATTCATATCCAAAAGTTTGCAATCTTCACCTAAACTTCTCAATCTATTTCCTAGCTTATTAACAACATCCATAACAGAATAGTCAGAGCAGCCTCCGGATCCACTAGTTAGCTTCTCAATGCCACAGCTAAAAACATTTCTGTCGATGCTTTTCGCTGAAGATAAGCAGTCCTTTTGCTCATTGGAATTCAAGAATATGAGTCCAGTTTGATTGGCCCGTCGCCCCAATGCATGTAAATAACCACCAAAAGCTGATCCACAACAGTTGTTTTCTAGAAAACCATCCCAATTTCCTGCTATACAATTTGAGTTGTTATCAGATGAAGAGAATTGGATATCTAAGATGCAATCAGTGGCTGGACTCTGTGGAAAGACAGATTTCATGATGGTGAAGAAGGCTAGGAGAACAAACATTATAAAGGAAGGCATTGTTTGATACTTTTATTTGATCAGGGCAGTGGGAATTCAAAAAGGAGGTGGCAATCAATGGTGGTTTAATACAATTGGTGGGATTATCTTGATACTCTGTTGATTCTGATATGATATGACTAAAAATGATTGGAGGACTGTGTTATTCAGGCATGCTTTTCAAACTGGAGTAGTTCATATATTTTTACCATAAGACTGAAGAAAAGGAGGTCATTGAAGCTGTGGGTGTTGCTTAGATATTCCATTTGTATTAAAGGAGAGCCTTGTGAGAAGAAACAGTTGTGAAAAAAAAGTATTTTTATTCCCAAGATTAATTTACAATGTCTTTGGGTTTGTGTGTGTGTGTGAGAGAGAGAGAAAGAGAGAGAACAAATATTAATTGATTGATGATTTATTTAAGGGCTAATCTCAATTTACGCCTTTGATGTTATGAAATGGTAGCAATGTGGACCTAACCTAGATTGTCGCTTAATTTTTTATTATAAATTTAAGTATATGAGGTGGAAGTACTTCAGGCATTATATCCAACGTTGTACGTCTTCGTCTGTGATCAATTTGACACCGTTTTTTGTATTGAAAATAGGGTTTCATTAATCAGATATAAACTAATTTATACATTAGCCTATGCCTAAAGTACTTATAACTCATATGCTTCAATTTATAACAAAAAATTGAAGGCGGTCTAAATGAGGTCCACATTGATACCAATTCATAACATTGAGAATGTAAATTGTAATTTTTAATATTTGAGGATATAAATTGAGAACCGAAAGATCTTTCAGAATACAAAATGAAATTATCCCTTTATTTAACCTTGAACATTTTCTCATTGTTGACTCAGAAAAAGCCAACTGCCGGATAAATTCATAATAAAATAAGATTGGGGATGTTGATTTGTTCTATAGTTTATGCTGATAGAGGTAGTGGACAAGCACATGGCAATAAATGAAACAACATTTCTCATGTTTATGCTTATTTGTTTGGATTTTAGCAAAAAATGAGATCGAAAAGAAGAAATTTGCTAAGGTTCCTAAAAGAAAGAAGAGATCGTAGAATCTTTCGTACCGTTTAGGAACACTTTTTAAAAGTGATTTTTTTAAGTAAAAGAATAATATTTATTTTGTAAAAATGATCTATATGCGTCTTAATATATAAATAACAAATTTATAGTCATATTTGAACTTCATATATATATATATATATAAGCATATCTTAACTGTTGTTTTCTAGAAGTAATTAATATGCATCTTGGTGTATAAGTATAAGTAGACAAATTTGTAAATATGCATATTTGTATTACAATATAAACAATTGGGTTTGAAAATAAACCTAATAAAGGAAAAAGCAAAAAAAGAATTATAAAACAAACACTACTTAAGAAAATACCTTAAAGTAAAAAAATACTTAAAGAAAGCCACTTTTGCAATTTTTGTGGGTCCTTATAAAATGTTTGATGTTAATTTTTTTTTTTTTTTTTACAATGTTCAGAATGTCCGAACAAGTTTTTGAGTACTTCGATTAATCTTTTTTTCAGTCTGATCAAAGACAGATTAACCACGCTAAAACTAGGGAATTCATAAGGGGATAAATTCAAAACGTTTGAATTTATAATTTGTTTTTATCTCCACACCAATACGTTGATCTATTGATACTAGCCTTGTTGACATGATCCACAAGAAGAAGAATGAAAACAAATAATGCTACAAACCATTAATCATATTTTTATTTTTTATTTTCAAATGTGAACTCAAAGGCATTTTAGGAAAGGGACGTGAGGTTGGATTAAAAAATTTCATGACATTGAAACTCAGTTTCCACCATGATTTGTCGTATCAATTGGATTTATCCCCTTAAAACTGTTTGGTGAAGAAGCCACATGAAGGTAGTGAATCCTAGAGGATATTGCTTGACTTGGTAAGCTCGAGCTTAATTCCTTTTTAAATAATATAAAAAAAGTTTTTCGTATCAAAAAAAGTAAAAATAATCATTGTATGGGTTTTTTTTGTTTTGCTTGAACTCTAAGCTGGAATTCAAGCTTATTGTACAAAAACAAAGTGGGGGACAAACCTCTTCTCAAATCGAATATCTAACACATGATTTCATTAATTTAAAAAATGGGATTTTGGTTAAATTAGCTCACTTATGCCAATTTCTACATACTCAAGAGGTTCTATAAAGCAGTATTTTTCTTTTTATACCAGACAAGATGGTTGTTAGGCTCAATCTATTACTTGTTGTTTTTTTCGTTCTGAATCTCAAAAACTCGACTCGATTAACACAGAGGCTGGGAATAATTGGAGGAATTAAGAAATAGGGATGTTTACCCTACCCTACGGGTAGAAAATATGTTCTTCTGTCTTCCTATCCGATACTTTGCGGAAGAGTTTTTTCTTGACCTACCCTACCCGGTGTGGTATTCCTACCCAACTTCCCACCCGATTAATCGAGTAGGAAGTCGGATAAACATTTTTGTAACAATTAATTTTTGGATTATTTTAACAATTTAATTAAATAATATGTACCAATTTAACAACACAATAAATCAATTAACACTAAAATCTAAAACAACTATAACAAGAATTATAATAAAACACAAGAAAGTATGAACATCAATTCACCATAATTGTTACACAAATACAATAACAATTAATTTAAGTTTAAGCTTTAAACCATATGAAATACATTAAAATCATAATTGCTCTGTCTGTGGTTAGGGTTTAGGGTTTTTTTAGTTTATATATATTAAAAAATTATTACCGGTAGAGTAGGGTAGGAATGTGGAAATGGATGACTATTCCGCATTTCTACCCGAAAATTGTCAGAAGACTAAAAATTCTTTTGCATTCCTACCCGATTTTTGTGGCTAACTGTTCAATAGAGTAGAATAGGGTCGAATAGGATAGAAACTTACTACCAATCGAAAATTTGAACAACCCTACTAAAAAGGCTGATACTTGTAAAATACCAAATAGCAGTTGAACGGAGATGGGTTGAGCTTAAAATTCAAATTGTCATGGCTGGCTATTCCGCATATGGGTCATATAGATGGCTTAAAATGGTTCTTCTTAGACTTTCCGGGATTAAATTTGGACTAAATAAATAGTATGGGCCACTATTGATTACATGGGCTTTCACTGATCTGTTATGTGATGGGCTTACCCTTTCAGAGGACTAATACAGATTTTGGAGTACTACTTTTGAAATGGGCTTGGAATGTGAATTTAAGGCCAGAATTGGGCCTTGAAGGCTGCCCAAGGGACCCTCGACAGTCGACAGCAAAACTTCGTTGATCATTCTTATGTTTTGATGGAAAAATAGGATACTAGATAAAATATCATGATCGATAAGAAAAAAAATAAAAAATTAAAAAAGTAAATAGATTAATTTTTTTTTCAATTTATCAAAATCAATCCCTCCAAAATTAGGAAAAAAATTGGATAGAAAATTAATTATGTGTGTTGAATTATATTGTATGTTATTTATCTATATATCATTTAATATATAAATATATCATATTTATCAATTATATATTATGTATATATTAATTTCGTATATAGTTATAATGGTAAAATATGTATCTATATTTTTTTTTATCTTTCCACTTTTCCATCTTATCAACATAAAAAAAATAATTTTTTCCTACTTTTCATCTCTCCTATCAAACACAAATAAGGGAAGGAAGAATTCTTCCCTTAAAAGATAAAAAGTGTTTCAGTCACACTTTCATCCTTGTATTTTTTGATTCACCCCACCAAACACACCATTATACTTTATTTGGTATACTGAAAAAATAGAAGGATGAAAAATTGAAGAAATAGATAAAACATTATGTTTGATAAGGACTGAGAATACGAAAAATAGATGAATTATATTTTCTTTCAACTCACTAAAATCAATCTCTTCAAAATTGGGAGAAAAAATAGATAAAAAATTAATTATGTTTATTAAAATATATATTATTACATGTATATCCTTTAATATATGCATATATCATATTTATCTATTTTATATATTATATATATATAATGGTAAAATATGTATTTATATTTTTTTCATCTTTCTACTTGTTTATCTTACCAAACGCAAAACAAAATCATTTATTTCTACTTTTCATCTCTTATACCAAACACAAAAGAAGGAATAAAAGATTTATTTTATTGAATTATAGAAAGTGTATCACTCCCATTTTATATTCTTACATTTTTACATCCACTCTATCAAACACACCGTTAGTATCACCATCAACGTGACACAACTCCACAAAAAATTATCATGTGTATGTTTAGGTTAGTGGATTTAGACTATAATCGAATTAATTGATTAAACCTCTTAATTAATGTAATGTATTGGAAATGATAAATAAACAATGTTAAAAAAAAAATTAATAGGTGGAAAAGGAGTGAATTGCACTTTATATCTTAAAAGATTTAAAATTTTTCACTTTGTAGCTATAAAGATTAAATTTATCACATTATACCCTCAATGCATTACAAAAATTATAATATAATCCTTCTATTAACTTTCTTTTAGTTTTTTAGTCAATATTAATGAGTTGACTTTTGACCAAAAAAAAATGAAAGATAATAGAAAGGTTATATTAAAATATTTTTGATACATTAAAAATATAATGTAAAAAAAATTTGTGTTGTTTGGTAAACTTTGTGTTTTTGTTTTTTTTTTCTCATTTTATGGCAAAAAAAAAATGCGGTTAGTGAATGTATTCGTTTTTTTTAATTGCTCCGTTTTGAAAACAAGGGTAAAATATGAAAATATGAAAATATTAAAAAAATAAAAAATAAATGCACAGTTCAAAATGTCTCATTTATGAGATCCTGAATTCGATCATCCTTAATAACAAAAAATGAATTTTTTTGCTCAAGTATAAAAAACTCCTTTCTCTTTCACTTTTTTTTACCAGATATCTCAACTCTCAAGCAAAGCTCTCTGTATCTCTCGCCCCTTCTCTGATGGGTTTTGCTGGGGAGTGTTAGGGGTGGGTTTCGAGGGTGGTGGTGGGGTTGGGTGACAATGGCGGCGGATTTCGAGGGTGGATAGTGAATTGTGATAGGGTTGGGTGGTGGTGGATTTTGGAGATAGATAGTAAATTTTGTTGGAGAGTTTTTGAGGTGGTCGTGGGGTTGGGTGGTGTTGGATTTCGGAGGTGGTGCTGGTTTTCGAGGGTGGTGGGTTTCAGGGATGGATAGTGATTTTTGATAAAGAGTTTCAGGGATGGATTTCGAGGGGTGAGTAGTGATGGAGTTTAGTGGTGGGTTGTAGGTTTGGGTGGTGGGATTTGGGTGGGTAGTGGGGTTGGGTGATGAGGTTTAGGTGGTGAATTTTTGATATAATACTAAAAATATTTTTTATTTTTGTTTTTCACAAATTTTTAAATATAAATGACAATGAAATATGTTTTATATTTTTAATTTTTATTACAAAAAAAATAAAAACTAGTTCTACATTCTTTATAGAAAAAACATAAAAATAAAAATATTATCAAACGCATCTTAACATTTGAAGTTATAAAATAAAAATTTTAAAATTTTTTTAACAGCAAAGTACGAAAAGTCCGGTGGATGAGTGACATCTCTGCCACCAAGTACTAACGTTGTATTACCCAGTCGTTAAGGTATTAAATGCCCCAATCATTTGCTCTGTCGCTCCAAAAATTTTATTCCAATTAAAAAGATTAATTATAAATTGTACCATGAAAGATCGTTCCAATTTTAATTTATACTCTCAAAGATTAAAAATTTCAATTTACATTCTCAAAAATATAAATTTGTATCAATGTGCAACTCCAAAAATAAAAAAAATTTAATTTGCACCCTCAAAGATAGAAATTTGTATCAATGTACACTTAAAACTATCAATCGTTAGTTTGCTGCCTATAACTAAATTGATAAATTATATCTAAATCCCTTCATTCTTGTCACTTAATCATTTAGACCCCTTCACATTTAGAATATTACTCTTACAACTCATGACGTTTATCCACATGTAACACGTAACCCCTTTTTGTTGATATTTGTTAACACAATAGTTAAAAAATATGATTTTATCCTAATGAAAAATTATAATTTTATATTACCTTTTATTTTGTGGGTCCAATATACTCTAAAGTTTAAAATCAAGATTATCATTTGAATGTTCCATATAATAAAGAGTTGAACATTGAGTGATATATTGCATTGGATATAAAAAATATTATATAATACCTATATTCTATTAGACATTGAAATTGTAAGCTTGATTGTGAACTGTAAAATATATCGAATCTACAAAATAAAGGGTAATATAAAATTATAATTTTTTATTGGAATAAAATTAAAATTTTTTAATTGTTATATTAACAAATATCAATAAAAATGGGTTACGTGTTACATATGCACAAATGTCATGAGATGTAGGAGTAATATTCTAAATGTGAAGGGGTTCAAATGATTAAATGTCAAACATAAACGGATGTAGGTATAATTTATCAATTTAGTTTTAGACAGCAAACTGACAGCGGTTAGTTTTAGATGCATATTGATACAAATTTCTATTTTTGAGGGTGTAAATTAAGATTTTTGATCTTTGGGTATGCACATTGATACAAATTTATATTTTTAAAGGTATAAATTAAGAGTTTTAATCTTTAGGAATACAAATTACAATTCGAATAATTTTTCAGATACAATTTATAATTATCCCAATTAAAAATTGGTCCACATTGTATCCTCTCAACGAGAAAATATTCATTACGAGGTATGACTGTTTAAAAGGTCCAACAACCTAGTCACGCCTCATCGGAGACGCCAAAGTCAGAAGTCGAAACAAATAAATTCCGATGGGTTATACAGGAACCAACGACGCCGGAGATGCCGAATCAACCCATCTTCTGACCGAAACACCCTCAAACAACCCCAAAATTCCTAAAGACAGCTTCCACTTAGCCTATATTATCTACTTCACCCTCGGCACCGGCTATCTCCTCCCATGGAACGCATTCATCACCGCCGTTGATTACTTCTCTTACCTCTACCCAGAAGTCTCCGTTGACCGAGTATTCGCAATTGCATACATGGTTATTGGCCTGATTTGCCTTCTTTTCATTGTGGCATTTGCTCATAAATCGAATTCTTTCGTTAGGATTAATGTGGGTTTGGGTTTGTTTGTGGTGGCACTTCTTCTTGTGCCTATAATGGATGTGGTGTATGTTAAGGGAAGGCAAGGGGTTTATGGTGGGTTCGTTGTGTCTGTTGGGGCGGTGGCGCTTTCGGGAATTGCAGATGCGTTGGTTCAAGGTGGGGTTATTGGATCTGCTGGGGAGTTGCCTGATAGGTATATGCAGGCTGTAGTTGCTGGAACTGCTGCTTCAGGTAATGTTTTGCTGTTGTTTCTTGGGATTTGGGATTTTAAGATCTGGTAGTGTCTTCATTTGTTGAATGTTTAGTGGTTATTGTGTTTTGGGTGATTCAAATACTCATAAAGCACTTGGAGTCTGTGGCTTTACTTGCCAAGCTGACTTATTGTGCTGTGCTGTGATCATCTGATCTTTAGCAGTTTGTTAGGTTTTAGGGTGTGGCATGAATTTAACAGATTTTGTTGTTTTTTATGGATTGGAAACTGGTTTTGAATTTCAGTATCTGGGTATGCCTTAGTTCTGTGAGTTGTGTTTTTTTGCATTTGGGGTCTGTGGTGTATGGATCTGTTGTGGAATGTCAGTTGATCTGTTATGGTATTGGTTCATAAAGTTTATATTCCATAGCTGTATTGTCTAAAGAACTTGACTTTTGCGTTGTTTGCTGCATTTATTGAGTTGATGTGGGTCATCCAAGATTTGTTTTCCTGTTGGGAATCAATTGACTTAAAGGTCTGTATATAGTATGGGATGATAAAGTTATTTGTTTCGGATACAAACTAAACCAAACCAAGCCTTATCTACCAATTATTTGGGGTCGTAGTTATTTGTTTCAGATAAATTAGCTAAAATTGGGTACTGTTTTATGTTACCCTGGTGATATGGGTGTTCAGTTCTACATAAATCCCTTAGCCACTTCATCGCATTATATATGAGTTTCACTGTTTTGATCAAGGGATTTCGTGGACAAATCTTTTTATTTTCGACAATACCCCTTCTTTTATAAGACCTAATATTCTGTGTAGCAAGGTCAATTATGGATTCTTGGTTCTATTGTGGACACATTCCTTGTGAACATTGTTATATTAGTAGGTCTTACGTGATTGTAAATTTGGTTACGCCAGAAATATTGGCATGAGCAGACACATAACATGTGTTCTGTTGTTGGTTTGTGAATTTTCTCTGTCAAATAACTAAATTTTGAAGGTTAATATGAAGCAAAAACAATGAAAGTAAGGCTATTTGGAATGCAATGTTTTTCTACCAATGTTGCAGTGGATGTAACATCATTCCACTGTACACTGGAGAGGAAAATCTCTTAGGGTCATTGTGCTTAAATTGAGCCTTGCACTCACAATTTACACTCTTTGGAGAGAAAGAAATGCTAGAATCTTCAGGAACGATTACAAGGATGTAGCAACCATCTTCAAATGCATTATTCAAGTTATCAAGTGCAAACTTATCACTGCTAACTATTGGCATACTCCAACGAACTTAGCTTTCCTTCAAATGTGGAGTTCCTCGGTCTCTAAGGCTCTTGCTAGTCTATGAACTTCTTTTGCTTCTTTTGTTTTCATAAACGGGTACAAGTTCTGCTATTTTGCAGTACTTTTATCAGTTTCGATTTCTTTTGTTTCAGTTGTCATATGATAGCCAAAAGACAACAATTTACTTGTACATTTTGCAAAGATTAATGAACATATTTACTTACCCAAAAAAAAAACACATCATTTCACTGTAAGCTTCCGTAAAGGGGCAGAGCTACCTATACAGGAGGGGAGGGCACTTACCCCCACTGGACTTTGGATAATTACCTTTTTTACCATGTTAATGATCATGATCTCGTTCAATTTAATGCATTGAACCCCCTGATTTTTGAAGTGTAGTGGTACTTATTTTTTTTCCTCAATGGTCAACTGCTCTTTCTAATCCAATAAAACAAAAGTTTCACTTTTGGACTGTGGAGGATATGTGAAATGCTCTCATCCACATATATATATTGGCTAAATATAATCTCTCTTTTATGTAGTACTTTAAAAAAAATTGCATAAGCTGCTCCTAACTCTTTTTCAGCAAGTTAAAGATCCATAATCCAGTAAAATGACTAAACGCAAATTATTCCTTACCCAATAGAGTGTTTTCTACATTGCAAAAGAATTCATTTCTTAACAAGATGATTATTCATCTCAATTAGAGGCTTTACAATAAAATGAAGGATGATTTTGTTATGGACTTTTTGATTGTAAACATGAAAGTAAATTGCTAAAAAAAATAGCATATAACAAATTATAAATCAATTAGGGATTTAAACAAACATCGTATTATACTTTGACATATAATAGATATTCATTTATTTTTCATATAACAATTTAATCCTAAATGAAATAAAATTCTCATGCTTAAAGTTAAAATTCCATAAATTAATTGATAAGTATGCTATTCATCTTTTGGCCCCTCAACATGAAATTTTAGCTCCGCTCCTGCATCCTTATCTTCGTGCGAGCTACGACAATGAAGCAAGCCCATATGGTTGGCTCACAATAAGAAGGAAGAAGATTTTTCTTTTTAGCATCGAAGTAAGTGAAACTGTATGTGCCTATATCCTTTTTGCTCAGGTGTGGTTGATAAGTGTTTAACATGTTGCGTTAGATATTATGAAGGGTTCTGCATATGCTAGCACATTGCCTACTTTGCAAGTTCATTAAACAAAATTAAGCACCAAATTATACTGCTGTATGGAGAAATGATCACAATACAACCATTTACTGATCTCTTATATGTGTGGTGTGCAGGAGTACTTGTTTCATTTTTAAGAATCTTCACCAAAGGTGTATATTCTCAAGACACCAATGGGCTGAGAAAAAGTGCTAATCTTTACTTCATTGTCAGCATTGTTGTGATGGTCATATGCATTGTTTTCTACAATGTGGCTCATAGACTTCCAGTTATAAAGTACTATCAGGATCTGAAATCACAGGCCCTAAATGAGGAGAGAGAGGAGAAAGGTGCCCTCACTGGAGCACAATGGAGAGCAACCTTGTGGAACATTGTTGGAACCGTGAAATGGTATGGGTTTGGGATGCTCATCATCTATGTTGTTACTTTGTGTATATTTCCTGGATATATAACAGAGGACGTGCATTCCCAGATTCTCAAGGATTGGTACCCGATCCTTCTCATTACAGGATACAATGTGTTTGATCTGGTTGGCAAGTCTCTTACTCCAATCTATCTCCTTGAGAATGCAAAGGTCGCAATTGGGGCATCTTTTGCAAGGTTGTTGTTCTTGCCCCTCTTCTATGGTTGCTTGCATGGTCCCCAATTCCTCAGGACAGAAGTTCCGATGACAGTTTTGACTTGTCTTTTGGGCCTTACCAATGGCTATCTGACCAGTGTTTTGATGATGTTGGCGCCCAAATCTGTCTTGTTACTACACGCAGAGACTGCAGGGATTGTGATGGTATTGTTCCTAGTTTGTGGCCTGGCAATCGGTTCAGTTGTATCTTGGTTTTGGGTCATATGATTCATCACTAATTTAATGGATATCAACTTCTTTGAGCCTACTGCATTGTCAGATTCCTCAGACTGAGATTGCCCGTCCGTTGAAGTAACAATTGGTGTTCTTATATTGTAAACCTTGTAAACTTTTCTTAATTTTTAATTTGATTGCAACTGAAGCATTGGTTCACTGAAACTGAATCTAAATTGTTATCCTATTGAACAACCTGGAGAATGTAAATTGCTGGCTACAGTTTATGAAGCATAAATGATTACTTTCTTTTTCACTTTCTTTATACCTTTATAGGTTCCCTATGGCTACCTCCCGTTGAAAACCTCACTATGGTATGTGCTACAACTTTAGAATTGATCACCCAAGTGTAGGTTGTGCGAAGTAATAAATTTCTCGGGAGTCCAAGGTCGAACTACAGGGAATTGGAAAAATAAGAGATATAAAACAAATAAAAAGCAAACTTATAAGAACAATTTATTTAAGAGATTGTTGAGTTTAGAAAATATTGATTGGAGTAATTAAAACAATATAATAAAAATACTAGAGCATCATGTACTCCCTCTCAATTCTGTATAATAATGATTAAAGACTCAAATCTTAACTTGAGACAAGAATCAGATGTCGGTTGATTCATGTGACAAATTAAGAAAGAAAACCTAAAGTTATAATCAAAAGATTATTTAGGAACCTGAATAATCATTCAATTATATTATTTTATGAAATAATAATAATTATCTCAAGCATGGAATAACTAATTATTTACTCGCAGGAAAATTCAAGCAATCGATGTACATGACACAACAACTCAAGGATTTTTACAGAGCAAAAATTTTACTATAAGATCAGAAGTTAAATTAACAAAATATCATAAATCATTAAACTCAAAATTAATAACATTATCGTACTTCATTGAGAGTTCTCCCCTAGCCCTACCTTAACCTTCTAGTCAGACACGACAAACTAAAGCTAGAAAATAAAAGATGGGAAAAAAAATTATTCCCTAAATCCTAGATGAGAACCTTTATATATACTAAAAATAAATTCTAAGTATAAGTATAAGATATAAGGTTGTCTTGGAAGGAATTCCTTTCCAAAAAGAAATCTTGTAAGATTAAATTTTGTGAATAAAATCTTTGGGGCGCGGGTACAAAATCTGTCCAGATTTCGAGCTTAAATTTTGCATATTTAGAGGTTGAATCACGAAAATTTCGTGAAATACACTTTTGTAGCCCTTGGAGTATTCTTTCCAGCTCTCAAAAATCAAGTAAATCGAATATCAAAGTCAAAAGTTATGATCAGAATACTGAAGATATGTCAAATCTTTATTCTTCTAGGATACTTTTCTAATCCAACTTTAAATGAGTTTTCTTCCATCTTGGACTCTTATAAAGATTAAATTGTTATCATATCTTCAAGTCTTTCTATTTAATCTTGACTCTTCAATCCTTATCAATTGCGATTCTTCCTCTAATGATTGATTCACTTATATTATCCATTATTATTTTAAATCAACCAATTTACCTGCAAAATAAATCAAACAACTAAAAAAAGTATCAAACTAAAAAAATCAAGAAATTCAACACATTTAATCACAAATAATATGTAATTAACCAATCATTAAATATAAAAAAATAGTAATTTTGATGGTTAATCACACCCCTCAACTTGAATATTACTAGTCCCTAGTAATACATAGATCCTAAAATCTAAAAACTAAAACTTAAAACTAAATAATCTAATAAAATAAAACATAAATCTATTTTCGTAGGCCTCAAGATTGCATTTAGCATATGCAACAAGCCTTGAAACCCCTAAGTTCCTCTTAGTGGACGAGTATAGTCTCGTAAGGATTTCTAGAGATGATACCCACAAACATCACCTTATGATCAAATATCTGAATAATAATTTAATAACACAAATTGCTATCACAATATAAAAATTCTGGGTTACAAACCTTTTTATAAGCACATGTAAAATAAAATATAGAATTCTACGCTATATAAATGTATGCAATTATCATGTTCACATATAAACTCGTGTGTAGTGTGAATTAATTATACCAAGTTAGCAATTTGTCGGGTAATCACCTCTACAACCATCAACTATTCGTCTCAATGCCAAATCTCACTAAATAATTCACTCATAAAAGATTCTCACAGATTATAGTGACTATTCCCTCAAATATCACATGTGAGAAGAAGATATTTAGATCAAAACAAAAATAATGCTCCCATGTCCAAAAAAAAACGTAATAAAAAAGAAAAAGATTTGATATAGTTCATGAAAGGAAATCAATACATAATATATAAATAATCACCATTTTTTTTCCTTATTCACACGAGTCATGTATCCATCAATACACTCTTGAGATCAGATAGGACTTTACTTAAGGTTGTAATGAGACATTGGGATTAGGGCTTTGAAACGAAGGATATTCAGGAATTCAAATGACTATCCCGAGAGAACATGCACATTACACAACCAATTTTCTTTCCATGACCTTTCACTCTTCACCCTTTAAAAGCACAATTTACAATATTTGCTCATATTTTTTTTTCTTTCACATGCTTGTTATTTTTCTCTTTTTTTTTCCAATCTGCTTTTTCACAGCTAGACATATTGTCTTTCTTTTTCTTCTCAACTTTTTTTTTTCAGCAAGACAATTGAATGTATATATATATATATATATATATATATATATATATATATATATATATATATATATATATATATATATATATATATATATATATATATATATATATTTAGCAAGACATCTAATGCAGATATTCACAATTATGCAGAACTCTATTTTTTTATCATCTTTTCTCAACCAACATCTCTCAAATTACATAAACAATAAAAAGCTCAATCTCAGGATAAATAAGGGTAAAGAATATTATTTTTTTCATTGGTTTGGTTATTATATATTGGGTAATAAAAAATTAAATAAAATTTTATTTCAAAACTCAATCATGGCTTCTAGGGATGATAATATTCAAAAAATAAGGCTTAGGCTCAAATAATATCAAAGATGAACTAAAATCATATCTCAAGAGTTTTTGATAACACACTCTCCATGCAAATAATTTAAAGTCAAGCAATCATTCATAATATTGGTGTGGACCAAAATAAAAATAATAAGACTATTGAAGGAGATTAGCTGAATAAAAATATTTTTTATTAAGTAAATGTAAATAACCTTCCAAAAAAGATTGTATCAAAACTCACCAGGGTTTTTATGCATCTCCATTATATGTTTCAAGTTCTCAAGGTAAAATACCTAACAAATTTTCAACTTGGTAAAGTTCAAAGTGTACAAATTGTGAGTTTTTATAAGAACATGATATGAGATACAAAAATATAGAATAAAATTATATGTGATACTTAAACAATTACAAATTTAAAGTTACGCAAATTATTTCTATATTGTGGTGTCAATTTATGCATAAAAATGTTATCTAAATATTTAATAACCATTAAATTTTTTTTTTTTTAGCAAAGTAAATAAACTAAAAAAAAACTTAAATTAGGAATTTTCACAACACAAAACATACTTATACTCCCCAACCTAAATTCAACATTGTTCTCAATGTAAAAATAAATACCTTAATGCTCAATAAAAATAATGAATAAAAGTCAAAATGATAGGAATACCTGGTGCCGCAACAACTCTAAAACCTAAAAATAAAAGACTTAACAAAAATAAGCAAAATGTTAAATAAAAGAAAATGTTATACAACAATTATGTTAATTGTTAGAGATGAATCATTCATATCGAGAATCCACCAACCCAATGGATTCCACTTCAACTATACCGTCCTCCAAAAATAGTTTCAATCGTTGTCCATTAACTTTAAAGGTGTTCCCATTATTGAGAATTTCAATCTCCACTGTTCCATATGAAAAAACTTCTTTAACAATATACGGGTCACTTCATCTAGTTCGAAGTTTTCCTTTGAAGATATGTAGTCTAATTATATAAAAGAACTTTTTGTGAAGGTGTAAAAGTTTTACGCAAAATATTTTTATCATGGAATACCTTCATTCTTTCTTTGTTAATCCTAGAGTTCTCATAAGCTTCATTCCGAATCTCCTCAAGCTCATTTAACTGTAATTTTCGTAAGGTGTCAATTTTGTCAAAACTAAAATTAAACATCTTAATGGCCCAATATGTCTTATGTTCTAATTCCATAGGTAAGTGACAAGCTTTTTCATATACCAATCTATACAGAGACATGTCAATCGGGGTTTTGTAAGCAGTACGGTATGCCCATAACGCATCGATTAGTTGTAATGATCAATCTTTACAATCAGGGTTAACCATTTTTTCCAAAATATAAGAAATTTTCCGATTAGCTAGCTCTGTTTGACCACTTGTCTGTGGGTGATAAGGGGTTGCAACTTTATGTGTCACTCCATATTTTTTCATTAAATTTTTAAAAGGTTTATTACAAAAGTGCAATCTCTCATCACTGATAATGACTCGAGGTATACCAAATCTGAAAAAAATATTTTCTTTTTAAAATTTCAAAATAACTTTATGATCATTTGTCCAACATGGTATAGCTTCGACCCACTTAAAGACATAATCTACGCCCACTAAAATATACATATATCCAAAAGATGGGGGGAAAGGTCCCATGAAATCCATGTCCCAACAATCAAAAATTAATATTATCAAAATTAGATTTAGAGGCATCATATTTCTACAAGTTAATCCCCCTAGAATTTGACATCGTTCACACACCTTACAAAAATTATAGGCATCTTTAAAAATTGTTGACCAATAAAATCCATACTGTAAAACCTTTGCAATTGTCTTTTTCATAGAAAAGTGGCCTCCACATGCTCTCGAATGACAAAATGATAAAATGCTACTTACCTTATCATTGGGCACGCATCTCCGGATAATCTGATCTGAACAGTATTTGAAAAGATATGGGTCATCCCAAAAAAAATTCTTTACTTTAACTAGAAATTTTCTTTTATCCAAAGCAGTCCAAGTCGGTGGCATATTACTTGTAACAAGAAAATTCACAATGTCACCAAACCACGGTGTTGAAGAAACTGCCAATAACTGTTTATCAGGGAAAATGTTCTTAATCTGCACTATCTCAATTGGCACATCACTCACAAGTTTAGACAAGTGATATGCAACTACATTTTTTACTCTTTTTTTATCTTTGATTGATATGTCAAATTCTTGGAGTAAGATGATCCACCTAAGCAGTCTTGGTTTAG